CGAGCTGACCTTTGAAATCTGTTTAGCTCTTTTACTTCATCATTTTTTTCCTTTCACTTTAGGTATTTTTATATGTTCTTTTTAACAAATATTGTGTACAATCTTTAAAACATCAATGTTTGGATCAAAACAAGACCCAGCTTATTTTCTGCTTCCTGTAAATTAAGCAAACATGCTATAATAAAAACAAAATGAAGGACAAGTAAGTTTAGACACAGCAAACATAATGTAGACTGAAAAACAAAAAGCTTCGAATGTGCAGATTAAATTGACCATTATAAGGCCTTGTGCTACCTGTTACTGATGGGTAGATAGGATTAACTTGTTTTTCCTCTGACCATGTTGCTATTGCTGTTAGGTGCTGCTGAGTCAATTTGGGCTCATAGCGAACCCGTGTGACAGAGTAGAACTTCCCCATAGGGTTTTTAAGGGAGCAATCATTATGGGAGCAGATCATCAGGTCTTTCTCCCATGGAGCTGCTGGGTGGATTTGAATCACCAACCTTTTGGTTAGCAGCAAAGCAATTAACTGTTGCACCATCAGGGCTACTTAGCTTTGTAAAAAATCTGTAAATGTGTGTGTAATATAATGCCTTGGTATTTTTTGAGGGTTGTTTTATGGCCCACTATGTAGTAAGTATTTGTAAATATTCCATGTGTTTTTGACAAGAATGTGTATTGAGAAGTTCAGCTTCTTGTTCTATATGTCCATTATATTAAACATGTTAATTTTCTTATTTAAATCTTTCATCGTCTTGACTGGCCTTTTGCATTCCTGAGATGACTCCCAGGCATTCAGTGCAGCCAAGATATAGTAAAGCCAGATAGGTACCACCACAAAACCTAGTCTGATAGGTGTTTTCTACTCACATTCTTTATTTGCATCAATATCTCTCACAAACTTTTTCAAATGGGATAAACTGGATAAAAAGTTATTTGTAACATGTTAATTTGAAGATGATGAAATCATATAAAGACCTAATGCTGACTCTAACGAAAAGGACAAACTATTCATTATTTTTTTAATATTAGCTATCTACTTGTAAAACAAATAAACTTGTAAAACAAAAGTTTGATCCCTACCTCAAGCCATTCAAAATAATATCCACATGAATTAAAGGGCTACATAAAAAAAAATTTAAGAAGTCTATAATATTAAAAGTATAGGAGACTACCATATTTTACCCTAATAATGCACACAACCTACGTTTGTTTGCCAACAGCATCCTTCCCCGTAAGGTATTTTTGTAAGCGCACTATGCTAATTTTGTTTTTACAGCAACATGTAAAAAACACTGGCACAGTGGCACTTATGAAAATACTTCACAGGGGAAGGATGCAGTTGGCAAACCAATGCAGAAGGTGCACATTACTTGCATAAAATATAAGGTATACCTATAACCAAGGCCTTTTTTAAACAAGACATAAATAAAAAATATACATTAAAAGACCAAGAAATTTGGTGAATCTCACCTTCACGTGTGATCAGTGAAATGCAAATTAAAAATAAAATTAAAACCTGTATGATTGCCTAAAACTTAAAATTTCAATAATTTCAAGTGTGAATGAGGATGTAGATAAGTGTATTCTGTCATCCGCTGCAGGTTGGAGTATAAATTGGTGCAGATGCTTTGGAGAGTATTTTGGTGGCATCTATTGACTCTAAAAATGCACATACACTATGACCAATGGCTCTATTTCTTACACATTTACATGTGAGAAATTTTTTTTACATGTTTCCAAGGAGGTACAATGAAGTATATTCATTCCAGCAGTATTGGTGACTATGGCATACTCAGAAGTAAAAGGAGACCAGTGCATCTGGAGCATAATGAACAAATAGAAAAGTGGACAAACAGGGCCACAATATTTCCATGTATGTTGTTCATTGACCATCTCCAGGGAACGCTGTTCATATAGACTGCAATGTGAACAGCACCCCCTGGAGTTGTGCAGTGCACAACATGCACAACTGTACATGGACGCCCTGCAGATGAAATGATGTTGGGGTTTTAATAGGAGGCCAGAACATGCAAAGCCTCAGAGGCCATAGTAAAGAATCTGGATCATTTAAGTAAAAGTCCTGAAGGGTTTTAAACAGAAATTAATTTATGTTTTAAAAACATTTTTCTGGCAACTATTTGAAATAGATTAGAGCAAGTTACGAGAAGAAGTAAAAGATCAATCGGGAGTGTATTGCAAGGTCTAATGAAGAGACGATGGTGGCCTCAGCTTGAATGGTAGCCTTGGAAATGGAAGGATATGGATAAATATGAAATATACCTTGCAGATAAAATCTACAAGACTTAACTGATGCATTAGACTGGAGAAGGGAGAGGATATGTTGGAGATGGTACAATCAAAGATGACTCCCAAGTTTCTCTATGAAATCCTGGGTGGAAGGGAGGACCATTTACTAATGTGAGGAAGAGGAATACCTTTCAGGAGCACAATTTCAAACATGTTCAGTTTCATATGATGGAGGCATCGTAGAAGAGACATCAGTGACAGATGGCGCTATGAGATTGGAGCTCAGAGAAGAGGTTTAGACCAAGATAAAAATTTTGATAATTTTTTTTATTAATTTTGAGGCCATGGAACTAGATGAGAAACTACCAATAGAAAGGAAAGACAAGAGGAGAGGGTTAGGAGAGCCCTGAGAAATTATTAAAATTTAGAAGACTGTTAGAGGTACATGCAGCCAAAGAGGTAGAATGGAAAACAAGGATAAATGGCATGTAATTGTAAACAGCTTAGCTCTCCATCAACAAGGGAATTGCTAAGGAAATTATGGTATCTCCGTTGTATAAAACACTATGCAAATATTTAGAAGCAATAGGCAAAATATATTAACATCAAAGTTTCTCGAAGATACATCATTGACTGAAAAAGCAAGTTTATTACATATGGTGTATGTGTGTTTAACCCATTGCCACCAAATCGATTCCAACTCATAGTGACCCCGTAGGGCAGAGTAGCACTACCCCATAGGTCTTCCAAGGCTGTCATCTTTACAGAAGCAGATTGCCACATCTTTCTTCCTCGGAGCAGTTGGTGGGTTCCAACTGCCAACTTTTCGATTAGTAGCCTAGCATTTAACCATTGCACCACTGGGGCTCCCTGTATATGTGTTTACTTATGTAAAAATAAATCAGGTACTATATATACACACACAATAATTGTATGTGCATCAAAAAATAAAATCTGGCTATTAAACAAACAAACAAACCAAACCCGTTGCCATGGAGTCAATTCAGACTCATAGCAAGCATATAGGACAGAGTAGAACCGCCCAATAGGGTTTCCAAGGAGTGGCTGGTGGATTCAGACTGCCGACTTTTTGGTTAGCAGCTGAGCTCTTAACCACTGTGCCACCAGGGCTCCATATATACAATTAATTAACAGTGGTTCCTGGGAATAGGGAGAGAAGGAATGAAATTTCGCTTTTTAACTTTACACTATTCTGTTGTTTGAATGTCTTATAGTGAGCATGCATTACTTTAGCAATACTTACAAAAAACTTTCAAAAAGTCACCCACTTTTTTAACCATCCTTTTTCTTGAAATAAACTTTAATACATTTTTTTAATGAAAACGTGGTCCAAGGAACACCTATATAGAAATATCTCAGGTATTTATTTAAAAGTATACTTCCTGGACCTCATCCCAGCTTTAATAAATCAGACCCTCTAGGAATGGGGTATAGGACTTTGCATGCTTAGCAACCACACCAGGTAATTCTAACTTCCACCACTGTGAACAGCAGTAAATCAAAATGAATGAAAGCAGTTGCTTTAAAAGTCACCAAATGCCAACACCACCTGGATAAATACCAGTTGCCTATCAGTCTAAAAGTGAAAGACAACAGTTAGCACAGGCCCGGTCCAAAGAGAGAAAAGTCTAAAACTAGATTAATGGCTCAAGATGTGTGGTGAATCAACACACACTCTAAGAAGCATCGTCAGATAAGGTAGAAGGAAGTAATATGGGTTCCATAATGAGAGGAAAGCTGCCAAATGTGCAGTACTTCCCTTCTTCCTCGTAATTCCCCATCTGGTCATCCATATCCAACAAATAATGTATGAGTGATTATAAATCAGTATAATGATTGTTACAATTCATATCAAAATAAATTGTCTTAGTGCTACTTGGAATCAAGGATGGTGAGACTTCATCTCATGTACTTTGGACATGTTATTAGGAGGGACCAATCCCTGGAGAAGGACATCATGCTTGGTAAAGCAGAGGGTCAGCAAAAAAGAGGAAGAGCCTCAACCAGATGGATTGACACAGTGGCTGCAACAATGGACTTAAACATAGCAAATATTGTGAGGATGGCACAGGACCAGGCAGTGTTTCGTTCTGTTGTACATAGGGTTGCTATGAGTAGGAACCGACTCAACAGCACTTAACAACAACATGCTTAATGCTGATGGGGGAAAACCCAAGAGTTATCACTTTCTGTGTAGACATGAATTATTGTCAGGTAAATTGACATTTATTTCCATTTATGTTATCACTTAAAATGTATCTTGACTTCATTACACTCTATATTTGAATCAGAAATACAGAAACTGAAAAATAATTCAGATAGTGATGCCTTCTACTTTCCATTATTTGAACCATCTCTTTGAAGGCATTATTAATGTCAGACATTCCTATGGCTCTTATGCCTCACTATAATGCAATCTATGGCAGAGGATTTTTACCATAAGGTACAAGCCAAAAGGGATATAGTTATCACAAAAAAAATAGAAGGCTTTTCAATAATGGGCCCTGTAAGAAAAAGTTACAGTTAGTGGGATTTAGAACAGACTCATGTACAGAGTTACCAAGACTCAGTGTATTCCCCGAAGAGCAAATCATGGAAAATAGAGTAATATAAGGTAAGTTCTTAAACGAAAATTATGTGGACAGTTTGTTGTATTTAATGAGAAATACTGTTTTTTGAAATTTAGCAGACAACTCAGAGTGTTCTGTTGTTTGTTTTTTGCTTTTTAGCTTTATCTATAACTGACCCATCTTTCAGAAGCAATGAATTATCATGGATGTCCTTTGCTTCCTTTCGTATTCGGAAGAAGACACATATTAAATTACAGTTCCAGCCTATTTCTGCAAATGGCATCCTATTTTATGTGGCACAACACTTACAAGCACAATCAGGTAAGGGTGGCAGGACCATTGTTTGCAGGAAAAAAAAAAAAAATCCAATGAATTCCTAATAGTCTATTAAGGAATATTTAATAGCATTTTTTTTTTTAAGTCACCTGGCCTATAAAATATGTAAACACTTCGTACTTTTCTATTCTAATGTCCCTGCAAGCATATGTCTATGAATTTAGACTCCCTAAATATAAATGCTAATAAAATACCAAATTGTTAAAACTCAAGTGAGCGAAATCTATATATAGTATATGCACAATTTTATTAAAAAAAAAAAAAAAGTTGCCATCAAATCAATTCTGGCTCATGGTAGCCCCATGTGTGTCAGAGTAGAACTCTGGTCCATTGGGTTTTCATGGCTGTGACCTTTCAGAAGCAGATCACCAGGCCTTTCTTCAAAGGCATCTCTGGGTGGGTTTGAAGCAGTGAATGCTTAGCAGTTTGCACCATTCAGGAACTCCCAACTTTTTAATAATCCCATCAAAAAAGGAGTTGAAGTCATGCATTATAGTCCTACATCAAAACAGGGACAAAATGTGCACTTAAAAGATAAATGAAAGGAAGTCATAGCTGACATGTTTCATATAGATTCATCCACTTTTATAGCTCAAAAAATTCTCTTTAAGTTCTTCTGTCATACAAATAGCAAACCTAGGCTCCATGTTTCAAAATAAGCTTATAAAAAGTGTTTTTTGAACTATAAAATGTGCACATGTATCATAAAACAATGTGAGATAAAAATATTTAAGAAGTGTATCTCAGTTTTAAAAACTTATTTTTGAGTTTTTATTATATTACTCTTAATTTTCACTTGCATAATACATTTTCCCAGAATTATTACAAAAGCTTTTTGATATATTGTTACACTTCTATTGCAGAATATAAATATATATTTTTTTTTAATTTTATATTTGGCTTTTCTCTCATTTTGTTTCACAGAAAATGAAACTTTGGTATTGAGAAATAAATCGGTTTATATTGTTTCTTATAGTCAACAAAACAGTGCTCTGATTTTCATAATCTAAGTAGTTCTTATAAAGGTATGTTAATACTCTGCTAAGTAAGGAGAATGTCAGGGAATTAGACAAAATGGTTCATCTCAATGTACTGCTGAAATACCTTCAAAAATAATTTCAAAGAGAAGAGATGATAATTTCAAAGCTAAAAGATAACATGATTGAACTACAAAATATTTGCGATTTGGTTTTAAATTCATGATTAAGTTAAATCTCCCTATGACATGCCAAGTAGGAGAATCATAAACAAAGGGAAAATTTCCATTTACAATTCAAGAGACATTAAAAGACAAGCAATCTCAATTTTATCACTCATAAAAAATCAAGGTTCATATAAGCAGGACACTTTGTATGACAAGGGCAGAAAATCAAGAGATCTTCAGGATTGTGACTGGCCAGGAATGTTGTACTATGGTTTTATAATTACTGCATACGTATCTGTGTTTGCGTGTATTAAACACAAAACTCACACAGTAAGTAGCACATGTAGGAGAGCAAGGGCACATTTTCTTACATCTATTATTCAATAGCATGTATTTCAGGTCATAGACAACAAAGATTTTCCTGTTTTTCTGCCATTAGATACTATTGACAAAGAGAGATGAAAATAGATTTATTAATTTCATGACATGATTGATGGTGTATTTGAAACTTATGTAAGAAAATCACGAAAGCTTTTAAAATACCTAAAAATCTGAGTCTTTAAAATGTTCTGCATCCCACTTTGGTGAGTGGTGTCTGCAGTCTTAAATAAATCTAGCAAGTGGCCATATTAGATGCATCAATTGGTCCCAACCAATCTGGAGTAAAGGAGAAAGAACAGCAAAGACACAAGGAAAATATTAGCCCAAGGGACAGAAACGGCCACATAAACCAGAGACTCCATCAGCCTGAGACCAGAAGAACTAGATAGTGCCTGGCTACCACCAATGACTGCCCTGACAGCGAACACAACAGAGTCCCTGACAGAGCAGGAGAAAAGTAGGGTGCAGAACACAAATTCTAGTAAAAAGACCAGACTTAATGGTTTGACTGAGACTGGAGGGACCACAGAAGACATGGCCCCTGGACTCTCTGTTGGCCCAGAGCTGAAACCATTCCTGAGGCCAACTGTTCAAAGATTAGACATAAAGTGATACTCATGAGGAGTGTGCTTTTTAGCTCAAGGGGATACATGAGACTAAATGGGCAGCTCCGGTCTGGAGGCAAGATGAGAAGGCAGAGAGGGTCAGGAGTTGGTTGAATGGACATGGGAAATCAGGGGTGGAAAGGAGAAGTGTGCTGTCACAGTATAAGGAGAGCAACTAGGGTCACATAGCAATGTGTGTATAAATTTTTGTAGGAGAAACTGATTTGAATTGTAAACTTTCGATTAAAGCATCATAAAAAAAATTCCACTGATACCAGGAAAAAAAAAAAATTCTAAGCCTTACATTCTTAGACTCACCTAAAGATAATTATCAGGTGAAAGGCATAAGCTTATTTATTTTCAATTAAATGGTGTAACAACTTTATTACATAGTTTATTGGAAACCTGTTTATTTAAGGTTGCATAAAATAAAGGTGACTATCCTGTACTTTGTATCTTCTCTAAGAGCTATGTCTGAGGTAAAAAATTAACCAAGCCTTCATAATCTACTCTCTTTTAAAATAGTAAAAAATGCCCAAACATTTCGTTTTAAAAAACAATATTGAGAAAATAATTTCTTCACAGACAATGTCAAAAACTGAAAATTAGGATATCAGTAGCCAATTAATTTTTCATATGTGGATAGTTAAATTCTTAATTAACAAAGTTTCTTAACTCTCTACAGGTCAGTAATTGGAATAAGATGAAACGGTGTAAAATTTGAAAATAATTTTATAATTGTTGCAATTGATTTTAGATCTCTGATCTTGGAAAGATACTTTAAACAGATGACAAGACTCTAATCCTTGTTCATCTTAATTTAATATCACTATTTAATGTCTTAAAATGAGTTTTTTTATGTGAAAAAATTAGCAATATTGTGTTAAGTATAAATTAATCACAGATGTCCTGAATTAATCTCAATATAATTATAATCCTCTCAAATAAATGTGTATAAAAAAGCCTAGTCATCCTCACTGTGAAATTAAGCATATTCAAACAATTAAATAGTAAGAGATCAATTACTTTTGTTTTCCTTTTCTAGAGAAAAGAGTACACTAAGTTCCTGGGTTACAAACATCTGATTTACAGATAACCCATACTTAAGAACAGATTGCCATAAGCTTATTATATTAAAATTTTGCGTTAAATACATAAAATGGTTCATAATAATGAATGCACACACTACTATGTGATGCTCATGAAAACATTGTGTGGTTTGGAAGTGTTTTTTTGTTTCATAGTGACCCTATAGGACAGAGCCCCATAGGGTTTCCAAGGAGCAGCCGGTAGATTCGAACTGCCAACCTTTTGGTTAGCAGCCGAGTTCTTAACTACTGCACCCGCAGGGCTCCTTTATATGCATAGAAAAGTAAAATATGTACTATATACTAAAACAAACATTTAACACACTGACAGTAAATAAGAAACCAAACCACATGTACTTGTTCTGACTTAACTACAAATTCGACTTAAAGACAGACCTAGGAACGGATCTCATTCGTAACTCAGGGACTGTAAGTATATAAAAATCTCCCTAATATGCTGTTTCCATAGTCTTTTTGAAACATCAGGTGTTATAAAGCTTCTAAGATCCATATTAAAGCACAGTAGAGTGGCAGGTGATGAGATGGGCAATGGTAGCAGCCCAGGAGGGAGGAAAAGAGGGGTCCCAGCCATAATTAAATAGGCATTAAATAACCAAGGTAAATTCATTTATGATCTTCATCCCATTTCTGAGCTCTGTTTCTTGTAAGAGCTATCCACTAGTGGTAGGCTTCTAACATTTACTTATCTTAATACCAATTCATGACCCATGGCTAGAACACCATACTTAATTAACTCAAATAAAAGGTCTGGATGATAAGAAGCTGCTAATACAGCTACAAGAGTAATTATAGCTTTCAGGGCCACAGAGGGAGAGAAGATCCTTTTTGTGCTAATTCTTCATAAAACAAGAACATATTCGAAGAGCCTTGTTAAAGTAAGCCTTCCTTCATGGAAGCTATTCTCCTTGCTCTTTCTTCTAGTTGGCAACTTGACCAGTAATATTATAGACCACATTTTTTTAATGTTTTTTATTCCAATACAGCTATTAACTGTAAGTTTGTTTATTACAGGGGAATTCTAAAATACATTATGTAGCAAGAGAAGCTTCTTCCATAATGCTGTTGAGAAAAAACTGGTTTGTGTTCACTTGTAAACCACAAAGCATACTCAGGATATTATAAATTTTTAAAATATCAATTATGTTTAATCTTTCAAGTTTCTTGAGGAATAAAAGAATTTAACATAATCCAATATGCATTTTTCCTTGAATAAACTGGAAGTTTGTAATGCTGCTTCTTTTCCCTTATATTTAAAATGTTGTTCATGTTAGAAATTAGTATGTGAATAAGCTGAATTCCTTCCTTTTGTTGATATGTATATTATATACACACATTAGTTGTAACTATTTTCATGTCGTCATAGAAAAAAGATGTATTTTTAGCTTTCAACCTAAAACTAGTATTTGAGAAATATTCTGAGTCATCTCACCCTACAACTCAACAAAGATATTCCTTCATTCAACAATTATTATTTATCAAGCATCTATTTATGTACCAGACACTGTACTAGGTACTGGGGATAACATGTTGGGCCAAATCAGACACAGATCTTGTTCTCACGGAGCCTACAAGCTAGAGGAAAAGGCAGATACTAATAAAACAATCACAGATGTAATGACATAGAGCATTATATTCACTAGAAATTCTCTATAGAAAAATGATCAAAATGAGAGAACCATTCTTTGCATGAGCTCACCTACTATTCTCAGATGGAAATGAGAGGTGTAGGAATGTGGAGCTGGCAGGTTTTCCCACCATCCTAGAATGTTCTGGTGTGGACCACAAAAGGGAGTACGAGAAAAGGATACCGTCTGGGAGGGAGGTGAGGCAGCAGGACACTGTGGAGGGAGGAAGAGGAAAGAAGAGGTTTGCTGTGCTAAGGCATCTTCGTAGATGAGAAAAGGGAAGAAATTTTTATTGGCTGCCCAAAAGTGAAATGTTAGGTGGAGGGGGAAATGTTTTGGGTAGGATTTCTGAACGAATCAATCTTATATTGAAAATACAATTCTCATTGGGATCAAGATTTGCTTTTTCAAAATAAAAAAGTTATCAAAAGGGGAATTTTTTTTAATGAAATACTTCACTGTTTCGTGATTAATGCTTTCTTTCTTTCTTAACAGGTGATTTTTTATGTATTTCTTTAGTAAATAGTTCTGTTCAATTTCGCTACAATCTTGGTGGCAGAACTATCATTCTTGAAACTCTTCAAAAAGTAATTATTAATGGAAGTACTTGGCATGTGATTAAAGCAGGAAGAGTTGGTGCTGAAGGTTACCTGGATCTGGATGGGATAAATGTAACAGAAAAAGCTACCACTAAAATGAATTTCCTGAATATAAATACAGATTTCTATATTGGAGGAGTGTCATCCTTGAATCTTGTAAATCCCATGGCAGTAGCAAATGAACCTGTAGGTTTTCAAGGTTGTATTCGAGAAGTTATTATAAATAATCAAGAATTACAGTTAACCGAATTAGGAGCAAAACGTGGTTCAAATGTAGGTGACTGTGATGGGACAGCTTGTGGGTACAATGTGTGCAGAAATGGGGGTGAATGCATAGTAAATGGCACAACTTTTTCTTGCAGATGTTTGCCACATTGGACTGGAAATACATGTGAGCAATCTGTGTACTGTTTGAATAATCTATGTCTCCATCAATCTCTATGTGTACCCGACGAATCATTTTCTTACAGTTGTTTGTGTCCTTTAGGTTGGGTAGGAAGGTATTGTGAAAACAAAATTTCATTTTCAACAGCAAAATTTATAGGTAATTCTTACATTAAGTACATTGATCCAAATTACAGAATGAGAAACCTTCAGTTCACTACTGTATCCTTCAATTTTAGTACTATTGAAACAGAGGGCTTAATTTTATGGATGGGAAAAGCTCAAAATGAAGAAAATGATTTTCTGGCAATTGGTCTCCATAATCAGACCTTGAAAATAGCAGTTAACCTAGGAGAAAGAATCTTTGCGTCTGTGATCCATAACAACGGCACGTTCTGTTGTAACAAATGGCATCATGTAATTATAATTCAAAATCAGACTCTTATCAAGGCCTACCTAGATGGCAATTTAATACTCTCTGAAAATACTGACCCATGCAAAAATTTTGTTGCTCTAAACTATGAGGGTGTTAGTTATTTAGGGGGCTTTGAATATGGTCGAAGGGTAAATATTGTCACTCAGGAGACTTTTAAAAGAAATTTTGTTGGCAAAATTAAAGATGTTGTGTTTTTCCAGGATTCAAAAAAAATTGAGTTAATTAAATCAGAAGGATACAATGTTTATAATGGAGATGAACAGAATTAGGTTACAAAAGCTAACATTGGCTATTTTAATATCCAAAATATATATAGTTATTTTGATAGTTACTTATTTGGTAAGTTATTTACTGGGAATCTTCTGTTTACTTTTACCTGAAATAGCCTAAATACTAACACATCTTTTGATAAACTTGTAAAATACAGCTAAAGTTTTGGTTGTTTTCCCTAAATTTATCTGTAAATGTATTGACTCCTAAGTTTTAACTCCTGAGTTTATTTAGTGTTCATTCATCTGTGAATGTTTTAAAACCAAATTCAAGTAGGACTAAATTAGTGATAGCTACTTAAAAAATAAGAAAATAAACAGTAAGTTATTAACCAGAGGGGGGAAAAATTATACAAGGATATGTAACTGTATTATACTACATGGCTCAGCTATGAATATTTACATGATTTTAATATTGTAAAACTTGAATATAGACTTAAAACAAAAATAATTGAGTGAATGTGGGAAAGACGGGAAAGTGGGCTCGTGAGAGCTAAATTCTCTGTTATAGCAAGACATCAACAGACAGTATTTGTTAACTTTTCAAAAAATGGCACATACATGTTGATTAGAAATATGAAGGCAAATATTCTTAGTAATGTCTAGAAGAATTGAAAGTGGTTGCCTCTGGAAAGAAAAGTTGTGCAGACGTATGTTACTTTTTGTTTATACACCTTGTAGAACTAACTTGACTTTTTAACCCATGTACTTGTATAACTAAATGTAAGAAATAAAATTTACATTTACATTTACATTTTCAAGCCTATAGATTGTAAAATGGAGCACAGAAGAGGCTCTAAATGATTGTCCTGATAATATCTGTACCTTTAAAAGTGTAACTTGAGAAAGTCTATTTTGCCCAAACCAGTTATTGGTATAACTAAGAATAGTATTTACACCCTTCGCCCAAACAATGCAAACTGTTATTAGTATTAGTGGCTATTAGTATTAATGGCTATTAGTATTTGGTTGTTACTTAGCATTTTCAGTTTGTTGTTTTGCCACCAAGAAAGCATCTTATAGCACATGACTGACAGAGAGTACTAACATCTAGATCTATGTGGGGAAAAAAAAATCTTCACAAGAGCAGCACTTAAAGTTTACAAGTAGGGAATTATCCATCAAGTAAAAGGAGAAAAGGGTTCACAGATGTAAAGACTGAGGAATAGATTTTTCTTCTCAATACTATTAATAAGCAAACTCTGCATGCGTAGATTCCAGTCTTTATAAAGAGGCTAGGTAAGTAATTTATCACTTGAAGAAATTTAGTTTTGTTTTGGTCTTGTTATTTTAGCCATTCCATTCCAATCAGAAATCTACAGACATTCTTGGAAGACCCTAGGACCAAAGTTAAGAACTTCGGCACCATTTAACGGGACACAAATTGCTAGCAGATATACTGTTCCTATTAACACTAGGAAGTGTATGGGCAGAATATAATGTAAGATATAATTGCAGAGTGTCTGTTCATTGATTTGAAGGTTTTTTTTTTTTTTATTTTAAGCAGAATCCACTCAAAATAAAACTCTACCCAATATCTGCTGAAAAACTTTGACCTAAATTTGTTTTGATCTATAGTTTCATTTGACTTAGGAAATACTGAGATTATGAAGATAACTGCTGTAAAAAAAATTCCTGTTAGTAGCTGGTAATCAAATCTAATTTTAAAGATATACACTTCTTATGTATAAAGCTAAGACAGACAGTCTAAAGGTTACAGAAGTTTCAGGGAAACTTTGCTTGAACCATCTTCCGTCATGATGAGGGATCTATTTCCCTAGGCTAGGGTCCCATACATTCTCTCATACAACAGTATGTCTTTAACTTAAGCAGCACTTTCCTAAGTGTGGTCCACGGACCTGAGAATCCCCCACATCTTTTTAGGGCATCCACAAGGTCTTCCCTTTCCCAACGACAAATCCATGTTAAGTCAGTATTTCCCATTTCAAATAAAATGACATATTTCAATATATTTAATGCAGAAGCAGTCACAAGAATGTCTTAAATCAGATATTAGAGATGTGCAAAAATAAAAATGACACATTAAATTAGATTTAGTCTGGAATTTTTCATAAAAATGTTACTTAACACGTAATGGGATTATTGTATGAAATATTTGTAAAGTTGGTTATTTTAGTTTCTAATATGCTAAATAATGACATAACCCATATAAATAAATGCTCTTCAGGGTTCTTAAAATTTTTTAAGAAAGTAAAAGGGTCCTGAAACTAACAAGTTTGAGAACTGCTGCTTTAAAGATTCTTCTCATAGCTGCAATTTTATGTTCAGATGTGATCATTTATTAGTCTCCTACCACAGTGGTTAAGAGCTATGGCATGCTACAGCTGCTAACCAAAACGTCGGCAGTTTGAATCCACTAGCCACTCCGTGGAAACCCTATGAGGCAGTGTATTTTGTCCTATAGGGTCGCTATGAGTTGGAATCAACTCAACAGCAACGGGTTTGGTTTTTGGTTACATCACACTACAAACTCCAACAGGCTGGAACCTTCCTATTTTGCTCACCATCTAGTAAATGCCTGCAGAATAGGCACACAATAAATATTTGTTAAAGATCTGAAAACAGCTACCTAGAGATTCTCCTGTTTAAGTCAAAATGAACTGGTGAAAATATTTTTCACCTTAAAACTTCAGAAATTTCATGTGGTGTATTAACATTCTCATTTTTGCTATCCTAGTAAAAATGGTGTCGAAGGTTTCCTATGTGATATGCTTTTCCTACACAAAATAAAAAAAGATTAATAATAGACCCTTTAAAGCAATTTTAATACAAATGTTATGATGATTCTGAAAGTTTAATGTAAAACGAGAACTTTTTAAAAAATATCTAAATACCAGAGGATGACAATAGTATTTAACTTTTCAAAGATCCCTTTTAAATACCAAAAACCAAACAAGTTGACATTGAGTCAATTCCGACCCATGGCGGCCCCATGTGTCGCAGAGTAGAGCTGCATTCCATAGGGTTTTTAAGGCTGTGATATTTTAGTAGATCACCAGGCCTTTCTTTCAAGGTGCCTCTGGGTTAGGTTCAAACTGCCAACTTTTTAGTTAGTTGTCAAGGGCTTAACTGTTTGCACAACCCAGGGACTGCTTTTTAAAAGAATATTCCTGAAAAAATTACTTTGGAAAAAAGTATTCTTTTAAAATAAGGAATATTTTAAGACAGTTTTGGTGTGAATTATTTCATAGATAGGGGATGTTTGGAGATACACTGGATTCACTGCCCTTTTAAGTACATATGGTGAGAACTCCCCTGTAACTCTTCTGCATCTATAAAATTAAACAGCAGACTCGTTTTCAAGACACAGTTAGCTATTGATCTAATATTTGTTTTTCAACCCACCTACTACCCTCTTGCTATACATATTACTAAAATTCTGTGTGAAACGGGAATCAAACATTCAGGCTATTTGGCACCTCTTTAAAAGCAGTAATGAATTTTACGCACTTTGCTTTGGGAGACAGAAATCAAATGCGGATTATGTTTTCTGCTCTTTGCAGTCATTAAACCAAAAAAAAAAAAAAAAACCCCGTGGCCATTGAGTCGATTGCAACTCATAACCTACAGGACAGAGTAGAACTGCTCCACAGGGTTTCCAGGGAGCAGCTGGAGGACTTGAACTACCACCCTTTGGTTAGCAGCCGAGCTCTTAACCACTACACCACCAGGGAGCCAGCTGCAGTCATTAGTAAGTAGTAACCTGACTACTCTTTCAGAGGGATTTGAGGAGACAGGGATAGTGCAACTGGTATAGCCAAACATTAAGTACATTATTCGTATTAATAAAATTTGGTTCACTAGCAAGCTCTCGTAACACATTGAAGTGTAATTTATAAACTTTAAGACAGCTATTACAAAGGAACTAGTTTTCCATGTTTAACATACATGCATAAACACATACTATTGCCTTAGATGTTCTCTAACTCCAAAAATTTATTAGTTCACCTACCACTAAGCTACAATTTGTGAATCAGGAGCTGTGGTGGACAGAAAGGCCCCTCAAAGACGTGTATGTCCTAACCCTTGGTACCTGTAAACAAGCTACACAGCAAAGTGGAATTAAGGTTGCAGATAGTTTGCTCATCAGCTGACCTTAAAACAGGGAGATAATCCTGGATTATCAAGGGGGGACGTGTAATTACAAGGGTCCTTAGAAGTGGAAGAATCAGAGATGGCAATGTAAAACAACACTTAGCCCTGTTGTTGGCTTTGAAGATGGAGAAAGGGGCCATAAGCCAAGGAAAGTGGGTGACCTCTAGAAGCTGGAAGTCAAGAAAACGGATTCTCTCCTAGAGCCTCTAGAAAGAAATCCACCTTGCTGACACCTTCATTTCAGCCCAGTGAGATTCATGGCAGACTTCTAATCTACATAATAAATGTGTATTCTTTTAAGTCACTAAGTTTTTGGTAATATGTCACAGCACCATCAAGGAGCTAACACAGGAAGATGTAGTCAAAATAACTTTGTACATCTGTACAAAAGCAGCAATGGGTTTTTGGTTGTTTCTTTTTTGTGGGGGAAGGGTGGTTGCTAAGTGAAGCGTTTTGGACAGGTTGGTGGGATGCAGAGAAAGAGGACTGTGAAGGGTGTATATGCTACGGAGACTTTTGCTCCTTTTTCCCTTTCTCAATTCTCAGAGCACAATGGCCAAGAACATAGACATCAGAGAAAAAAAAAGGAAACAGGCTAGGATTCCAGTTCTGTCAATAGCAGTCTAATCTTGGGTAAGTTTTTCCACTTTTCTAAGTACCAGTTTCCTTAGTTCTAAGTCTTCACTTTTCAGTGATAAGCAAGATTTATGTAAAGCACTCAACACAGGCCTGCCACACAGAGGGTTCACAAAGGCTTTCTTATTGCCACAAGGATTACAAGGGGTGGACTTTAAAGGTATAGAGACACCATGCTACGTTACTCAATAGAGGTTTACGTATAAGCTGAATCTTAAAATGGTTCTAAATTTTAAAAGATGTCAAACTTTTTTTAAATAAGTAATTTTCCTTAAAATAGAAGACACTGAAAGAGATGAACTTCATTTAATTCATATTTGTGTAAAAGGTTAGCTGTAGGTACAATTTAAAGACTGAGAATGGCTCTGGATCTACTCACAGAAAACTTCTATCATTTTCTCTTTCCTCACAAGAATACCTCAAAGTATGTCCATTCTTTCCTTACTCTCTACAGCATTTCAGGGGTTAAAAGACCTGGTTCTAACATTTAGTAGCCCTGTAACTCCAGGGGATGGTCATCAGTAATAGAGGGCTATTGCCTTGCCTCTCTTAAAAGGATATATATCAAGATCCAACAAGACATGAACAATTTTAAGTTAAGCCTCACAATGTGTATACAAAGCTATTAACTTGAGAGGTAGTCAGAAACGGACATCAAGGCTTTCTTTCACTGGCTAATCCATTCTTGTACCTTGCAAGAGAAATCTGGTGCCTGATCAATCCCCCAACCAGATAAATCAGTGAAAGCAGACTTAATGACAACATACATATCTGAAATAAAAATGATAATGTTCTTTTATAAAACCTGACAATTTCTTCCTAACAGTGCAAAAGATGACTGACCTTAGGTTTTGTCTGGAGAAATAACTGACTTTTATTCAAAGAAGTGAATATCCAAAGAAAAGCAGACCAAAGTTAAACGTATTTTATTTAAATACAAGTCCTGTGTTTCAGAACTTTTATAATTAACTTGAGAGGACAGGGATTAAAAAAAAAAGTGTTGCCAAGTTGTTGCAAATTAGACAAAACGTTTGGTTTTGAATTCCCTTTTCTTTTCCCTCCAGTTAGAATAGCAAGGCTAATTTAGTTTCAAAACTTATTGTTAATCTCTAATCTTTAGACTCTTTAGGAAAACAGACAATCTTCTTAATTCTGTGGGGTCATTTATATTTTTCTTCATTAGTACAGGTAAGTAAAAATATTGGTTTTTCTTTTTGGTCTCAAGTGCCAGCAGCATTTGGTAGCTATAGTTTTAAATGATAGCAATCAATACAGATGTATTACTTTTGGGTGTAAATAAATTTAGATCTGGATTAGTAATAGCATCCATGTGCTTTCTATTTCAAACAAATGTGGCATATGAAACTGTACAGTTACCCTAAAAACAAATTAGGGTTACACATTTTACAAAAAGATTTGCAACACACTTCTCTTAAATAAAAGTTCTGTGGTCTTACAATGATTAGTGAATCAGTGTACCAAAATCTGATGATGTGTAAGTTTTCACAAACATATCTATAGAGTGGGCTATAGCTGCACAGTTTTTTATTGGTAGTTCTCTATTTACTTCAATGGCCTATAATCTAAGATTTTTAAAAAGTGTGTTTCTCCTCATCTAGTCTGAGTTAGACAAGAACAATGTCTGAAGGAACTAAAGCTTTGAAGAAGAAATTCTTTTACTACTGAATTTTAAATCACACACACAAAATACGTGAGAAAGTCTTTTATCATATTTAGAATCAAAATATCCCTTAAAATATTTACATTTTACAGTAAAAAGGATAGCAAAACACAAGATCATGTACAAGCTTAAGTATTCAAGTTTCTGCAGAGCCAAAATGGAAAGGAAAATAATGACCCACTACAAAGCTGTAGTATATGGGAATAAAATGCCTTCAATGAATGCAGATTAAAGCAATAAATGTACTCCTTGGACTTCTGATTCTTGGTCAAAATTACTCAACTAAATGATTAGTATAATCTGATTATGAAGTTGCTTGGCTTTTGTAGTTCTCCTGGAGTTTTTTTTTTTTTTTAAAAAAAACAGTGCAATTTAAAACAAACTTACAGAGCACACACTACTCTCAAATTAGTCATTATATAAAGGACATTCACTAGAGGCAGTAAATATATTCCATAGTTAACCATATTTATCAATTATGGAATAAAACTAAAATTTCTAAGCCTTTATTGCCTATTAATTAAACAAATCTTTGAATATACAGCAATGTAAAACTTTTAAAAATATTAAATTCCTACAACTAGAGACAGTTGGTATGAAGAAGGGATGATGAGCACTGGTACAGATGCTCTGCACCAACACACAGAATTTTATTTTTCTGCAAACCACCGAGATTAAAAATTTAAAAGATGGCACAATCGTAGCAGGCAATCTTACAGTTTTTGATACAACATTTAATAGCTATTTAAATGTAATCTTGAAACAGCCTGCAAATTTTACCTTTTGCTTTTAGCTCTGTCAGTGTGGTCCCTATCTTTGTGGTACCTATCCCGGTCCTTTTCACCTTCTCTATGTTTACTTTTCTCTCGTTCTTTGTCCTTTTCATGGTCTTCACTTTTAGGTTTATCTGGCTTCTTGTCTACATTCCTACCATCTCTGCTTGCTTTTGCATCTGCTCCTCGATCACCATGTGACAACCGTGCCCTCTCTTTATCTTTGTGCCCTTCCTCCTTGCTTTTTCTGTCTCTGTCCTTGTCCTGGGTTCTGTCTCTGCGTCTATGCCTTTCAGATTCTTGCTCCCATTCCTTTTCATGTCGCTCTCTTTTCAAGTGGTGTGAATCACTATAAAATCTCTGGCGGTCCCCTTTGCCCCTATTAAATGCCCTATCCAGCTGCTGTTGGTCTTGCCTACCCCAAGGGTCACTATGACGTCTTTCTGGTCTCCGAATGTCTTTAACCTGGTAAAAATTTTGTGGGCCTATAAACCTTGAAGCTTGTGAAAGGGGGCCCAACATACGTTGCGGCTGGCCTGCCAGATGAACAACAGGTGGCCAGGGAACCATGGGATTTTGAGGAAAGCCAAAGCCTGGGGGAGGAAGTAATGGGGGTGGTAAATGTGGTGGAAATCCAAATATGTTCTGTGGGGGGAAATTAGGAGGTCCTGGAAATGGAAATGCAGGGGGGCTAGACTTGAGATGCTGAAGGTTGGGTTGCTGTGGCCTCACAGGTGAAAAGTTTGCATTTGTTCTGGGGCTGGTGCTTCTAGAGGTAAAGTTGATGCTTTTAGAAGGAAAGTCTGGTTGACATGTGTTTCCAGCTTCAAAATGAGATGTTGTTACTGCTGATCCTCTTCGCAACAGGTGCACAGTTTCGATATTTTGCATTAAAACATCCTCCTGTACAGGTTTTGCTTGTTCTGTTTGAAAAGTGTGTATATTTTCTTCTGAAGCTGAGTTTTGTGGAATACTTGAATTATCACTCTGCTGAACACATGAATTTTTCTCTACAGAAGATGACTTTTCATCTACACTGGTTTGCTCTGTTAAGTGCTCCTTGTTCTGTGACAGGCCAGGAGGAGCGTGTTTTTCTCCATTCCGGCAATTCTCTCCATCTTTGCTTTCTGACGTACTTATCTGCTGACTTCGTCCTGCTGCTTGCCTGGGATCCCTTTTCAGGTTGATAAACTGTGGGGACCTTGTGTTAGCAACAAGGCTGTCATTGCAGCTCATATTACCATCTGTGCTTCCTTTTCCTACATTAGACCTGCCTGGAGAACCAGTATCTGAAGTCCAGTTATCTTGTGAATTATTCTCTTGATCTTGCAGCAGCTGTCTTTTTAATGTCCTCTCTTTACTGTCCCCAGTTTCCTCTTGCTTTGACTGGATTGATAAATTTGTTAAGAATGCTTCTGTAGAAATATCTGGTGGTTTACCTCTGAGACTAAGATTTGTTAAAAGTCCTGGAGAGATGGAAGAGGACCCCGGTACAGACGTCTCTTCTTCTACTGCTACTGAATTACCTGTAGCTTCTGAATGATTATCTACTTTAACTTTTACCTCCTTGGCTTCACCATCAGCTACTTCTTCTATTTTATCTATTTTTTCAGCTTTTGGATTAGTCTGCTCATTTATAAACGGAATTTCTTTAAGAGTATTCTGTTCTATCACTGGCTGAGCCTGTTCGTATACCTGACCAGTAGAGCCCAAGAGGCTTTGAAGTATATCGTCCACAGGAAGAGGTTTATTTGCTAATTCCAGAGTAGAAGGCTGATTTTCCCAGCCAATCAATACCCCAGGAAGAAATCTTAAAGGTTTTGGTGGCTCCTGTTTGGTGACTTCCACTAAAGGTTCAACTGCTGCTGGAAGGTCTTCCTGAAGAGTCTGCTGAGGCTTATTTCTCTGCTTGTGTAATACAGTTGTAAAAGAATTAAAAAAGTCATTTTCTTCCTCTGGTGCTTCCTCTGCAGAAACTTCTATTTTACTTTTTTTATCAGGCGGCAATGACATTGGTACACTTTCAGGAGCTTCAGCTGCATGACCTGTGCTAGCACTAGCACTATGCTGTCGCTTCAGTTTTTGACGAATAATCAAGCCCAACAGTAGATTAGGTCTATGCAGTTCAAGCCCTGTACAAAATCAAAAACATCAATTATTAGTCATTTTTGATCATTACAATAAGTGTACCATTTTGCATCTAGCTTACTACAGGCGATCAAATGGGTACTTGTCCCTGTCAAGCCACCTACAGGACTGGATCCCAAAAAAGAAAGCGGAGTTAGTTTTTTCGTTTTGGTCCTGCCTCCCAATTTACTTAAATCATATCAGATCATTAAAATGTACACCTACCAGGTCCATCAAAAGGCACAAGAGGGTGTGGAATTTTATCCGTGGCACCCAAAGGAATCAGGTACATATCCTTAACCTGCTTCATGTTGTTGGCCGCTACTCCATAGCGCTTTCTGCTACTGAAGTATGCAAACAGCAAAGTGTAAGAAATTTGATCTTCTTCAGTTACTGGTGTGAAGCGAACCACACAAATTTCCTATTCAAGAAAAATAACAAATGGTTGTTAAAAAAATAACCTAAAGAAAAAAATCTATCAAATTTTATAATGATGCCTGCCAAGTATCTATTTTACCAACTTAAATACAGGTAAGAATACAGAAAGAAAATACCCCTTAGGGAAAGATCTTTGCTGATCCTTTGATGGGTTTGTTTTACGTGAAGGCTTCCCATAAGAAACTGAAGTCCAAGGTGATTTGTTCAAGGTCATACAACTTGTCAGTGACAGAGAAGATACTGAAACCCAAGTTTTTTGACATCTATACTACATCCTGATTTCCAATGCTGTGATCTCCACAGGGGGATGCCTGTGCTCTTGGCACACTGGGATTTAATAGCACCCACAACTAACACATACACACAAACACAAAAATCTACTGATGACTGAGCTTACCAGGACTGCTCTTAGGTAATTAAGAGGGGCTGGGTGAAAAGACCTCTAATGCACGTGGGTCATAAATTTTGTAAAATTATTTGGCTTACTCAAGAAATTTTTTGCTTGCCTCTGGGTTAATGACTTCGTTTTAAATACAAAAGACACTGGTATTGACTTCATAGTGTAAGAAGTAAACGCTTCTGCATGAAAGTATACAATCAAAATGGGGAACACCTGGTTTAAAACTCATGCAGGATCCTAAAGAAAACATGTGAATAAGCTGAATGATGGCTTTGCCTCTTATAAAAGGTCTGTCATCTACACTGCCCTAAAAAAAAATCTTAAAAATATACCCCCCCCCCCCCACACACACACACACACTAGTGATGACTATTACAGGGTTCAGGAGTCCTGGTGGCACAGTGATTAAGAGGTCAGCTGCTAACCAAAAGGTCAGGAGTTCCAATCCACCAGCAGCTCCCTAGAAACCCTATGGGGCAGTTCTACTCTGTCCTATAGGGTCGCTTTGAGCCGGAATTGACTCGATGGCAACAGGTCTGGTTTTGGTATTACAGGGTTCTAGTCAGTTCAAGATAGGGACATAATGAAGTGTTGGACAGTAATATGTGAGTATACACAAGAATGATTTCCAAAACGTCTAAGTATAATACCTCCCCATTTTCACTGCCACGAAAAGTAGCAGCAAATAAACGTGGTTTAACTTTTTTATAGTGCTTCAAAGTGTATTTGTACTTTAACATTGTACTAATTTAAAATCTAAAATCTACACTGGAAAAAAAAATCGTTTCAGCTGAAGATCATCTATTTTGGATTATTCCAAAGAAAAACTGTTGTTGTTATGTGCTGTGAAGTGGATTCCAACTCACAGCAACCATATAAGACAGAGTAGAACTGTCCCATGGGATTTCCAAGGCTGTAGTCTTAACAGAAGCACATTGCTACATCTTTCTCCCATGGAGTGACTGGTGGATTCGAACCACAGACCTTTCAGTTAGCATTCACGCAATTAACCACTGTGGCAGGGCTCCTAAAGAAAAACCAGAGGCCTCTAATCTTACCTTCAAGAAGAGAAGCAGAAAATTAACACTAATTCAAGATTTATTTATTGAATGCCTATAATATGCTAGGTACTATCACCTTTGAAAGGAAAAATGATTTCTTCTAATGATTTAATTTCCCTGTGTATATAATGTTCTATGAATTAAAGAAACGACAGAAAAATACACTGAGAGAGAGAAAAAAAAAAGAAGTACTGTGATAGAGGCTACTATTTCCAGGTATCGATTCTCCTCCTTTCCTCTTAGTAACAGCAACCGTTCATGTCTAGCTGGGCAAATGGCCATCCAATAGCGATTACATTTCCGTCTCCCTAGTAGCTAGGTAAGGCTCTGTGACTAAGTTCTTATGAATAGAAGTTATAGGAAGTAAAGTGATGACTGTAATTTCTGGGTCTTCCCCTTACAACAACTGGACATGCATTCCTCATTTTTTCCCACTTGGTGCTAATGAGTCAGCTCTGACAATGTTTGACTGATAAGGGCAACACTCTCGGAAACAGGAGAATAACAACAAAGAAGGAGCCTGATGTCTCTGGATGATCTTGTAGAATCAGAGCCACCTAATCACTCTGAATGACTAGCCTACTTAACACAAGAGAAAAACACACTTCTATATTTTTTAGTCACTCTATTTCAGAGTCTCCTTGTTGCAGCAGCTTAGCCTGTGACCTAATGAAAACAACTGCCTATAAGTTGAAGTAAGGCAAAATTCCAGAATAAATTTCAGTACTTACTTTAAAGTATTTCTTCTAAAACATTTGACAGAAGCCACGAAAAAAGCATACCAGAAAAAAATAAGAAATACTGGGTTGTTTCAAGCTTTAGCAAATGACTTTAGATCAGTTTTGTGAGGCATATCATGTAGCTATAGAATCTGTATTGGCTCCCTTGCATTGGGACTGTATTGGGACCTTGCATAAGAACTATGAATGGTTTACTTCCAAACATTAACCTGTACCGGTACAGTAAAAAAAGCTTTCCTTACCTTGGTTCCTGATGCTTTTAGTTTTTCCACATAATCCCAAACTGTCTGAGGTGATATCCTGCCACCTACTTGAATACTATCTGGTAGATCCTGTGGTTAAAAAACAAAGGTGATTATGTATACAGAATATATTTATTACAATATTCATAATTTGTACAAATTTAGCTCTAAGACTAATTTGAAATGACAATGAAAACAAGTAAATAAAAATCCTATGAAATAGATTAGAAAATACAATATAGTACCAGGATAACCATTAGGTTTTATCTCAAATGCCAACTCCAACTGAATGAAGTGGATGCCCAAAATATAGCTATTAAGAAAGAGAACTGAAGTCATACCAGGTCGCAGCAGAAAAGACAGGAACAGAAAAGGGAAGTGATAGTAAACATACCACATTAGCAATCCACGAAGGGTACAACACATTTCAGAATATTAAGGAAGACTATTTTTCCCCTTCCATTTTTTTGGTGGTAGACGCAGGGGTATTCCTTAATTATTAACAGCTAGATTTCAGAGGCTATAAAATTTATATATAGTATATTTTTACTCAGAAAACAGTACACTGCTATAATGTAAAATTTACATTTTAACAAAGCACAGTATTTCTGAAAACAGATAAGTATACACAAAACCAATTAAGAACTGTGCCATTAAGAACATTTACAACTTTAATCAGTATGTTCCTATTTTTCCCATGAAGACTGAGAAAAATCAGAAGAAACAAATAATATTAAATCTAATTAAGTTTATTTAAGTTATTGATTGCTTTAAATATTTTACTTGGAATTTTAGTCCTAATCAAATTAAAAGTAAGTAGAGAGCAGAGGTAGAGTTCTAGAAAGCAGCCATATAGAAACTAAGCTTCAAAGAGGAAAATAATTTTGTTTAAAGTCAAAAGGACTTACTTCTCTATTTAAAAAAAAAAAAAAGTTAACTTTCACCATAAACTGATCAAAGACTAAATTTATAAATCGATTTGTTAAAAAAGAACATCATGAGTCCATTTGTCTCTTACAAAATCCACATTTTAAAAATATTATTTATCAACCAAACTGTATATAAAAGTAGTAATTAGGTTGTTTACTCATCAAAAACACAACTGTAAATAAACTGATGAACATTATACTGAACTAATTTTAGCCTAATTCAAAGAAATGTGGACTTTGTTAGCCTTAAAAAAGAAGAGGCATATGAAATACTAAAATCATTTAAAAAAAAAAAAAAAATCTGCCTTTATGGTCACCAGACTAAGAATGAATAACAAATGTTAATGTTAGATATAAGCAAAATAAACAGCAAAATAAAATCTTAACATACATATAGTACATATATACTGACTTATTTTTCTTCTACACACACAAAAAGATACACATTTTCTTCAAAATAGTTGAAAAATGTCATACTTTTTCATTTATCACATTATACTACTGTTGCTTATTTCCCACGAACACTGCACAAGAGTTCTTTCCCATTCTCTCAGGTATAAAACCAGACAAGAGTATCACTTCAACAACTACGGTCACTGGGTCTCACTGGGCTATCAATTAGCTGCAAAGCTTCAACTTCAGTCTAGAGTTCACAGAAATAGGCAGGTGAGAACTACAGTTATGAAATCTAGGGAAACGTAAAAAGTGGGGGAATTAGAAGACCTGTTTAACAATGAAAAATCTTCCTGATGGGCTAATACTGAAGACCATAAGTAGTCAATCTTTCATGTAAGTCCTTATTTAAAAGGATCTTAGCTATCTACTGCAGGCTGTAATTTTTTAATAATATTTTATTGTGCTATAGGTGAAAGTTTACACAGCAAATTAGGTTCCCATTTAACAATTTTTATATAAACTGCTCTGTGACATTGGTTACATTTTTCACAATGTGTCAGCATTCTCATTATTTCCATCTTGTTTGTTCTATTTCCATTAATCTAGCTCCCAGCCCCTCCTGACCTTCTTTCATCTTTGCCTTAGGGTAAATGGTGACCATTTGGTCTCATACAGTTGATTACTTAAGGAAGTACATTCATCATGGGTGATACTGTTTATTCTATAAGCAAATCTATTATATGGAAGAAAGGTGACCCCTGAAAGTGACTTCTGCTCCAACTTCAAAGGGTATGTTAGGATGACAGTCTCAGGGGTCTCATTAATTTTTAATTTTCTGACATAGTGAAGCACATATTGGAAAACATGTAGAACATATGATAGAATTTTTCAAAAGTACGGTTTTTCACAATTCTAAAAATCCATTTTTGAATTCATAATTCCATTAATTAAGCTGTTTAAGGATCACTGTTAATAAACATTTTTACCGTGAACTTTATGTTGTTTCCCTGCCTGCTGCTTTCAGAAACACACATGCCAACCCAGGCACAAGAGGGTAGAAATTCACAGTACCTCTGTCAAGTACTCGGGGGAGCCTGACACCGGGTAGGCTTTGGTAACAAATTTTGCCACAGAAGGCATGTTGATAAAACCTTTCCAGATGAAGTTCAAACGAGCCAGGAAAGTAGACTCAACTTCAACAGCTCCGGGCATCTCAGGACTAGAAAATGACATTAAAAAATTAGCAGCCTGAAGACATGTTCATTAATAAATCCATTTTCTACTAAGCCATCAGTTACTTCTATTTTAGCATGTCAAGAAGGCCAAAATATGTAAAGGCTAGTGATGAAACAGACACCCAGTTGAACCTGAATTTCAGATCAACAATGAATAGTTTAGTGTAAGTATGTCCCATGCAATATTTAGTATGTTTCATGCAATATATTTGGGACATGCTTATACTAAAGATTGTTCGTTGTTTATCTCAGATTTAATTTTAATTGGGTGTCCTGTATTTTTATTTGCTGAATCTGACAAACTATCAGTCCACAGGGAATACAAAGGACGGAGAAACATATTAAAGGACAGAGAAACATATTAAAGGAACCCAGGATGAGGTAATCAGCACCAGACTATGGGTAAATCTACAAGAACAAGCAGATTGCTTCAACAAAAAAAGTCAAGGAAAGAGGAGAAAAGTGACAGCAAAAGAGAGAGAACCTAGACTAAAAGGAGACTTAAGAGACACAAAAACTAATCACAACATGTAGATTTTATTTGGAGTCTGATTCAGGCTATAAAAAAAATTGTGACATTTATGATACTATTCATAATTTGAACACTGACTAGATATTTGATTATATTAAGGAATTTTCAGATATGATAATGGTATTGTGGATTTTTAAAATTTCTTATCTTTTAGAGATCCATATTGAAACGTTTATTGATGAACTTACATGACATACAGGAGAAAATTCACAATAATCTGGGAGAGAGGGAAGTGGAAGAGGTATAGATGTAACAAGACTGGCCTTGAGTTGGCTGCTTAAGCTTCATGAAAAGTACATGTAATTTCATTATACTTTTCTCTCTACTTCTGTGTATGTTTGAAATTCTCCATAATAAACTTTTTAAAAGGAAAAAAAAAAGGTCAAAATATGCAAAGGCTATTGATTAGAGAGGACATTTTCACTTTACAAATTTATCCTCACATTTACTTAAACATGTTGTACAAAGTCATCTTGCTTAGTTTAGGTGGAATATGGCCCAGAGAAGTGCAAGCAATTTTTCTTCAATAACCTATTTCCTGCCTCTTGGGACCAGCATAATTAAGAAGTGTTTTAAAGTCATGTCTTCACATACTCAAATCTCTGAATTAACTTTCAGAGTCTTATTCTTTTCTCCCAATTAGTTTAGAGTACAGGAAGGTATGGTTACTTTCTCAAAAGAAAGGTCCCTAAGAGAGATGTCACTTCTCTGTTTTTGAACACCCCCCTAGTATAATTTGGCAAAGATCTATTAACTACTATTATAGAAATTATCACTAAGAGAAAATTACCGTGAAACAGGAGAGAATGTTGACTTTGGAGACTCTTGCTTCTCATCTTCAAAGAAATCAGAAGCTAAAATATTTGAGGTTGAAGACAATGCATCTGCTATACTTTCTGCTTCATTGTCTGAATGTTTACGAGATACTCCAACAACAACTTTCACTTTTTTTGGAGAAAGATCATCTACAGGTGGTGCCATTCGACCTAAAAAACAGAAGACACCAAAATAAAACATTTTTGCAAACTGCAATTTCTATAATTTGATTAATTTTCACTTTCAAAACTATTTTCTTGATTCAATTTTTGAGTAACCCTACATTTTTTACTATCATCATTATTCATAATGAGTTATATTACACCTGTATTTAAGAATCAACAGGGAATTTACTAGTGTCCTCACCATCCCCAGCCCTCTTTTATATACAAGGACCTAAGCTTATCTGAAATGCAATTCATGACATACTGTGCAGAGTTCTACCTGTACTGTACTTAAGTTCCCTTTTCAAATCATTTTACAAATATTCTCGCCTAAATACAAAACATAAGTAAATATGTAATGTTGTTGTTAGCTGCTGTTGTGTCAATTCCGACTCATGGCAAGCCCATGTGTGCAAAGCAGAACTGCTCCCTAGGGTTTTCAAGGCTGTGACCTTTGTAAGCAGACTGCCAGGCCTGTCTTCGGAGGTACCTCTGGGTGGGTTCGAACTGTCAATCTTTCAGCAAGTAGTTAAGTGCTTAATCATTTGTGCCACCCAGGGACCCAAAATATGGAATAGATGGTATAATTCCTCGATTACTGATGTGAAGAATTAGGAAAAGAGGATGTTAAGCACCTCAGATAAACTGCAACAAAAGTCTTATAACTAGAACCCAAAATAGGTTTCTTGATTTCGTGACAAATATTTAACTGAATTATACCAAATTCCAAGTCTTGAGAAGTAACTTGAAGAAATGAGTAAAACAAATGTCTCCTACTTTGTGTATACGCAGCAGCAGTTCGTGACTATGTATGCACAGTGTAGTACTATTTATTTACAATGGTTTGTAAAACATGAAAAACATTAGTAAAGTTTAGAAAATGACTGGTTTTAAATTACAGCATCAAGGAAAAAATCACTCAAATTTTCTAAAAATAGGTCAAGCGTAAGTAGTATTTAACAAATGTTCTTCTGTACTACCATTAAATTTACTGAAATATTATCATAAAAATTATTAAAATTATACAGAAATAACCAAAAGTTATTTTTATTTAAGATTTCCCCCAGAAAACAACTAAATGAGTATGTTTTAAAAATACTGTAACACCATGGAAAATTTTCTTTCGGGATAATTATTAATCTCTAAAACACTATGGCTTCTCATTCGATACCAGCAGATAGTTTTCAAAATATGTGAACACAATTTTGACGATATCATCAACTATTTTCATCTGCAGTAAATTTACTCAATTTATATTTCATTTATTCTCTAGCTTAATGCTGAATGGCAGCGTATAAACTACCCTGAAGGATTTTTCAAGTTACTGAACAAAGTATGTCTCATCCCGTAAGCATAAAAAAATTTTTAAAAAAAGGTGAACCATGACTCTAGAGGTTTTAAAAACTGCTAATACTCCATCGTTAGAATAAACTGAATATAAACTGAAACTCTTCCTTGACATATTCCTATTCCCTATACCAAAATCCAGTCAACCTCCAAAACCTGTCAACAGCGCTGAACTTGTGTATCTCAAAGCCTCTGCTTATTTACGTCTCCATTGCTACCACTCTAATTTAAGCTACTATCATCTCCCACCCGGATTACTGTAAAGGCCTCCTATCTAGACTCCCTCCTTCCTCTCTTGGTTTCTTCCAATATAATCTCTACCCAAAGTCCCAGGGATTTTCATAAAATTTTAATCTTACTGTATTATTCTCCTGCTAAAAATCCTTCCATCAATATCTACTACTCTTAGATAAAATATCATAATCTCTAACATGGCCTACAAAAGTAGATATTCAGAGTTTTTGATCATGAACTACATTAAATATTTTATATCATCGCTCATTGTACACATACACACACACTCTCTCGTGTATGTGTGTGCCTGCAAAGACAGAGGGGAAAATCATTCTAGTTAATACGAATGGTGTGAGCTTGAGATGAATCAGGAAGAGGAGAAAGGTACAGATTTGACGGAAGACATATTTAAAGATCAAAATTTGTACTGTCATATTAAAAATAAAGAAAACCCACTGCCTTCAATTCCAACTCATAGTGGCCCTATAGGACAGAGTAGAACTACCGCATAGTTTCCCAAGAGCAGCTGGTGGATTCGAACTGCCAACTTTTTTGGTTAGCAGCAGAGTAACCACTGAGCAACCAGGGCTCTTTACTGCTGTATAGCGACTGTTTTTCAGACTTCATGTTCTGGTTCATTAGTAAGTTGTTAGGTGCCATCAAGTCAGTTCCTATTCATAGTGACCCTATGTATAACAGAACAAAACACTGCCCAGCCCTGCACCATCCTCACAATCAGTTATGCAGCCACTGTGTCAATCTGTCTTGTTGAGGGTCTTTCTCTCTTTTGCTGACCTCTACCAAGCCTTATGTCCTTCTCTACAGACTGGTCCCTCCTGATAACATGTCCAAAGTCTGTGAGGCATAGTCTCACTATCCTTGCTTCTAAGGAGCATGGTGGCTGTACTTCTTCCAAGACAAGATTTGTTCATTCTTTTGGCAGTCCATGGTATATCCAATATTCTTTGCCAACACCACAATTCAAAGACGTCAATTCTTTGCTTCAGTCTTCCTTATTCATTGTCCAGCTTTCACATGCTATGAGGTAACTGAAAACACCATGGCTTGGGTCAGGTGCACCTTAATCTTCAAGGTCACATCTTTGCTTTATAACACTTTAAAGAGGTCTTTTGCAGTTGATTTGCCCAGTGCAACGCGACCTTTGATTTCTTGACTGCTGCTTACATGGGTGTTGATTGTAGATCCAAGTAAAATGAAATCCTTAACAACTTCAATCTTTTCTCCGTTTATCATGATGTTGCTTATTGGTCCAGTTGTGAGAATTTATGTTTTATGTTGAGGTATAATCCATACAGAAGGCTGTAGTCTTTGATTTTTATCAGTAAGTGCTTCAAGTCCTCTTTGCTTTCAGCAAGCTAGGCTGTGTCACCTGCAAAACGCAGGTTGTTAATGAGACTTCCTCCAATCCTGATGCCCCGTTCTTCTTCATGTAGTCCAGATTCTCAGATTATTTGCTCAGCATACAGATTAAATACATATGGTGAAAGGATACAATACCCTGATGCACATCTTTCCTGACTTTAAACCACGCAGTATGGCCCTGTTCTGTTCAAACGGCTGCCTCTTGGTCTACGTACAGGTTCCTCATGAGCAAAATTAAGTGTTCTGGGATTCTCATTCTTCACAATGTTATCCATAATTTGTTATGATCCACACATTTGAATGCCTCTGCATAACTAATAAAACATAGGTAAACATCTTTCTGGTATTCTCTTTCAGCCAGGACCTATCTGACATCAGCAATGATATCCCTGGTTCCATGTCCTCTTCTGAATCCGGCTTGAATTTCTGGCAGTTCCCTGTCGATGTACTTCTGCCGCTGCTTTTGAATGATCTTCAGCAAAATTTTACTTGCATGTGATATTAATATCATCGTTGGATAATTTCTGCATTTGGCTGGATCACCTTTCTTGGGAATAGGCATAAATATGGATCTCTTCCAGTCAGTTGGTCAGGTAGCATTCTTCCAAATTTCTTGGTACAGACAAGTTAGCACTTTCAGCCCTGTATCCGTTTGCTGAAACATCTCAGTTGGTATTCCGTTAATTCCTGGAGCCTTGTTTTTCACCAATGCCTTTAGTGTAGCTTGGACTTCTTCCACCAGTACCGTCGGTTCCTGATCATATGCTACCTCCTGAAATGGTTTAATATCGACCAATTCTTTTTAGTACAGTGACTCTGTATATTCTATCTTCTTTGGATGCTTCCTGGGTCGTTTAATATTTTCCCTGTAGAATCCTTCACTATTGCAACTTGAGGCCTGAAGTTTTTCTTCAGTTCTTTCAGCTTGAAAAACACCTAGCATGTTCTTCCCTTTTGGTTTTCTAACTCCAGGTGTTTGCACGTCATTATAATACTGTACTTTGTCTTCTTGAGCTGCCCTTTGAAATCTTCTGTTCAGCTCTTTTACTACATTGTTTCTTCCATTTGCCTTTGCTACTTGATGTTCAAGAGCAAGTTTCAGAGTCTCTTCTGATATCCATTTTGGTATTTTCTTTCTCTTCTGTGTTTTTAATGACCTCTTGCTTTCTTCATGTATGATGTCATTCCACAATTCATCTGGTCTTCAGTTATTAGTGCTCAATGCATCAAATCTATTCCTGAGATGGTCTCTAAATTCAGGTGGGATCTATTCGAGGTTGTACCTTTGGCTCTCATGGACTTGCTCTAATTTTCTTCAGTTTTAACTTGAACTTGCATATGAGCAGTTGATGGTCTGTTCCGCAGTTGGTCCGTTTTTGTTCTGACCGATGATACTGAGCTTTTCCATCATCTCTTTCCACAAATATAGTCGATCTGATTCTTGTGTATTCCATCTGGTGAGGTCCGCGTGTACAGTGGTTGTTTATGTTGTTGAAAGAAGTTATTTGCAATGAATAAGTCATTGGTCTTGCAAAATTCTATCATGCGATCTCCGGCATTGTTTCTGTCACCAAAGGCCGTATTTTCCAACTAACAATCCTTCTTCTTTGTTTCCAACTGTCACATTCCAATCACCAGTAATTATCAATGCGTCCTGATTGCATGTTTGATCAATTTCAGACTGCAGAAGTTGGCAAAAATCTTCAATTTCTTCATCTTTGGCCTTAAGGGTTGGTGGGTAAATTTGAATAACAATTGTATTAACTAGTCTTCCTTGTAGATCATTAGTAGTAGGGAGTGACCATCAAACCAACACTAGGAAAACAAAAACCTACTTAAATTACAAATACTGTTATGCAAACACAAGTATCTCCATTTCAAAATGAAGGCACAATTTTAGGAAGAAAAATTTCTGATTACCTATGCAAATTTTACAGTTAAGATCAAAAAGATGCTGTCTATGTTGACTAGTGGTATCCTTAGACATTGAGTCAATCTCCTCTTTTTGTTTTTCAGATTCTTCTATCTTCTCCAATGACTTATTAGCTGTAGGTTCCTAACAAAAGAGAGTAAAAATCAGTTTTAGTTGATAAAATGTGGCCTCAATTCATAAAATCATTCTACATTTCATGTTAGGGTTTTTCCCTAACTGAAAGTGTTGCATTCATAGGTTGTTTTCACTATTTCTTAAAAAAAAAAAAGCTAGATATTAATTATGACATAAAATAGAGCAAAAACTTAAAACATTCCTCATTCTCCAAGGTTTCTAACAAGATTTTCAAATTATTTTCTCACTAATATTTGAAAATAAGAAATGCTGCACCAGCTCTCAAACTGCAATCTGCCTAAAATGTGCCTAGAGATTTCCAAGCCTACCAGGAAATTCATGAAGTCAGTGAGAGAGCTCAGGAATCTACACTTAACAAGTGTTTAGCAGATGTCTGTAACGCAGACAGCCTGCATACTGTGTGTGTGATCTACAAACAGACAAACGATACTCTGAACATCTCAAAAACCATTAAACCGATGAAATAGGCTATTTCAAAATGTATACATTCTTAAAAATTCTTCTATTTTAAGAGCATTAAGCAAATAAATCTTGGTCTGAATTTTCACATTTAGAGTACTACAAAACATGACATTTTTATCTTTACCTGTATTTCCATGGCAGCTTCCTGCTCTTTCATTGGGGCATCACTCTCAATTTCTATTTCACCTTTATGAGTTATTTTTGTGATTGGTCGTCTTTCAACTTCTCTCTGCTCTTTCTCAATCATCTCTATGGTCTAACAGGAAATATTTTAAAATAAATTTATTTCATAATTTAAAGTATATATTTCCAAATCTACAAGTTTAAATAATATTAAGAGCTTACCTAAAAATAAAAGAATTATCACAGATGATTTTTTAATCTTTAGGTAGTCTCTTGTATAACAAACATCTACCGAGTGTTTATATATATGACTGATACTGTTTTAAGTGGTGGAGTTATAAGAAAAAGGCCCTATACCTGAGCTTGAGTAGTTCACACATATATTAACAGGAAGCAATTAAAGTGCAATGTAATTTTCAAAGTTATGAAACATGATATTTATATTTAAAATTTGCTTTCTAGTTTAGTACTTTAGCAGATGCCACAAAGAAATGAGATCTATGTTGCTCTTAGGTTTCTAACTTGATGTTACAGCATCTCCCAAAATAGCAGAGGTATACTCAAACATCAAAAATAATCAGGTAGTCCTGTATCAGTTGTCTCCTGGCTGAGTTTGCTTAGTGGCAGTAATAATTCACAGTTGAACAAGCTCAGCAGTAAAACCTAAAAATGAAGCAACTATAGCAAGCAGTAGGAAGAGAGTTGAGAGTAGGATGGAGTAAGGAGTGTAAAGAAGGGTCTAGTTTATTTCCCCTTTGTTAAGCAGCAATCATTCTTTTAAAGAAAGAAATCAAGCACATGGCCTAAAAGAAGTACAACTTGGCCTTTAATGTAGATGACCCTTGCAGCAACAGTTTCAAAGCAGAAAAGAGACATGTCACACTTGGGGTATGGAAAGAAAGAAAAGGTGGTGATACTATTTTCAAAACAGGGATAAAGAGGAGAAAGTACACAAGGTGAAGGTCAAGAAACATGTGAATACTGTGGTTCAAACCAGACGTGGCACAGGATCTACACGGAGGATTAGCGTCTAAGATTCAAGTAAAGATTATGGACAAAAGAATGAGGTAAAATAATATAAAGTTAATATGAATATAATGTCAGGGTTCAGTAACCAGTATTTTCTAGAATAAAGGGCTAATATTCTGAGGTAATGCAGTAAAAATGTCAGATAACATGGCTATCTCACTATCACAGTAAGTCACATATCACTTAATTAATCTTTCAAGTTCACAGTCCCTCAATCCCGAAATGAAAACTCTTGGCATCGATGACTTTCAGAATTTTTTGGTTTTAAAAATGCAATAGAATGCACATGGCACTTATTACTTACATAACACTTTAGTTGGGTCTGGAGCAGCACCCCATAATTAAACACACAATATTTTATGAATATGAACATTCACAGACATCAGTTCAGGTCAGGTTTTATCAATGAATAAGTTAAGAAAAAAACTTATTTTTCAGACATGTGGCATTCAAAATTGTGAATAAAGGATTGTAAACCTGTATAAATTTTCATTCTAAGACTCCACAAATTATCAATATTTATAATACCTTCAAACTGTGTTCCTGAAAAAATGTAGTTCTTTTCTCTATCCTTCTCATTTACAAAATATAATAACAAAACTCAAGGTAATTCATAAGCCGATAACGAGAGGAAATAAAGAGAAAAGTTGCAAAGATTCGGAAACATAAAAGACAGAATTTAAGAACTAGAGGAATGGAGGATAAGTAATCAGAAGGACCACAGAATAGAAAGTCTGGTTACTATGCAAATCTGTGTTGAATTACCTCTGTATAATTTTTCCCCAATGGCTGAAAAATACGGGTTTTGATAAAGTCAAATGCATATTCACAGATAATCTTACATGTCTGTTTTCTCTTCGTCTCCAAGCAGCTAACTCTTTAGAAGCTAGTTCTTCTGGACTCATTCTTATAAGATGATCCGGGGTTACTTCTCCTTTTAGCACTTTTTTAAATAATATCTGGAAAGGTTTAAAAATGGGAAGGAAAGGAGAGACAGATTTTAAAAAAGAGGAGCTACTGTAGAGGAACTTGTAATAATAAATTTTGTAATTTTGAATCCTGATTTACAGATGTTTAATATTTTATATATTACCTACTGCACAAAGAATAAATGGCAGTCTTGTACTCTAAGAGCTTATCATCTAAGGCAGATAAGACACACATTTCATAGAAAATCAACACATAATGGAAAACCATACACAGGGGAACCATTATAATACCTATTCAGAAGTTTTACTATGTCTGGGACAGACTCTGACCATCACAATAAACCATCTATAGTATAGCCAGGTATTGCTGTACTATACTATTCAGCTTTACCGAATGTAATATCTTTCATATTTTTAAGATTTTATGTCCAAACTCTGATAGGCTTGGAGAGAATTCCAGAGCAAAGAACCAAATGCAAGAAAGAATCCTAAAGGAAGTAAGTCTTTATTTGCTTACTGAAGAAAAGCTTCCAAATTATATAATCACGAAGTATCTGATCCTCCAGGACCATGATGGCAGGTACTGCACAAAGATTCTCCTTAAGCAGCTGTTAGTATACTCTAAAAAAATTATCTCATATTGCATACCCCAGCAAATATCATTATATAAATTTACAAATTTATGTCACTTATGTGAAAAGCTTATATTACTGAAGCAAATATGCCAGAGGTTTGCATCTAATTATATTGTAACTATTACTTAGAGTCACCTGTAGCAAAAACTCCTGTTGGGACTAGGTAAGTTTACACAGAAGAAATCAGTCGTGCTCTGAACTTTTAAAATGTTCAATGGCATCAGTTATGTTTTGTGCATTAATCAAAGGCCTACTTTTGGTGCAAGCATGCATGCGTGCACACACACGCACACATATACACATAGCTTTTAGATTCCACTAAGTCTCAAACAAGAAACTCCAGGAAAGATTTGGGGTCCAATTAATGTTTACTCCACTGTTAAAAGATATTCAGAACTAAAGTTATATTCAATTTAGTAAAACTGTTTTAAAGTAGATTTCGTTTTTATTTAAACATAATTTACTTTCTTTCAGCTCTATATTCAGACTTAAAAGTAATAATATATTGTTGAATTTTGGTTTAACAGAGCTTTTTAAGAATACATATGAATAAAGTTTTTAATAAACTGGATTAAAGAAAAGGACAGTGAAGAATAGAGAACTGACATAACTCAGGTTAAGCTATATCTAGTATGTCACTTAAACCTATTCTGTAATACTACTCACTACTATGCAGAATTCAGCCTGGTGAGCAGCGAAAGGATTTTTATTAAAATTACATGTTCTAATTCAAAAGGCAATTCCAAAGTCTCACTCCAAAGAATAAATTATAGATCTATTATATTACATTCTCAGATTCCTTTGTATTCAAGAAAGTTTGAAGTATAAATATCCACAGACATGAACAAAACATACTTACACTGTTTTTAGGGTCTTTCAGGTTAAACATCAAACTTCTGTATTTATTCTTATATTTAGCATCTGTGTCCCGAAAAAAAGAGAAAAGCTCTTTCTCAATTTTTGTGGCAACTTTTGCAGCCTTTTCCTCTGGTACCTTCAAATTTGAGTCTGTAAGTCTTAAAAAATTAAAACAATTCAATTATTTTTGAAACACCTGAACAGTATATTATTCAATCTTATACAATAATGATTTGTTACCTTTTCATAAGAATGTCTTTGAGAGAATGTCTGACACTCTGTCTGATCTGATCTGCAGAAGGTTTAGAAGTAGAAGCAGCAGATGGATGCACATTAGGCACTCCCCCTTTATCAACTTTCTTCTTTTTTATCTCTTGCTTTTCATGAGTACCTAATTCAAAGTCATGAAATTGTTTATAAAAAGTTATTTTTCCATTATACTGCATAAGTATGTTATAAACAAAATTGACTGACTAAAACCAAACACCAAACCAAACCAAACCCGTTGCTGTGGAGTCGATTCCAACTCATAGTGACTCTACAGGGGCAGAACTGCCCATAGGGTTTTCAAGGAGCTAGTGGTGAATTCAAATTGCAGACCTTTTGGTTAGCAGCCCAGCTCTTAACCATTTCACCACCAGGGCCACAAAACCAAATCCACTGCTGTCAAGTCAATTCCGACTCATAGTGACCCTACAGGACAGAGTAGAACTGCCCCACAGGGTTTCCAAGGAGTGGCTAGTGGATTCGAACTGCCGACCTTTTAATCAGTAGCTGGCCAGGCTCTTAACTATAAGTCACTAAGATCAGAATCCATATTCCATATTAAAATATCCAACACTGAAATTTTAATTAAAATGAATAGTCACCAAAAAAAAAAAAAAAAACTCAATCGTGAATAAAAAGTGGTCCTTAAAGCTATAAAATGTATATACTTTTTCCCCATTTTACATAACAGCTTTCATAGCTGGTTACTTCTCAGATATATATATTAATTAACTTTAAAAAAAAGCTATTTAGAAAATCTCATCTGAACTTCTTAGTTGAGCAGATAATTTACTGACCTTACAAACACCAAAAATGCATGAATCTCCTCTGGTTTAATTGTGCTTGATGTTATTAAGTTCAGTGCTAAACTTTCCTAATGATTTTCTTATTCCGTAATTGCTAATTCCTAAGCATCTCCAAAATCTCAATATCAAATATTCCACTACTCTCACTACTACCTCCTATTATACTACCTCATTTATTCTAGAATTCTCTCATTCCAATAATTTTTACATCTATCATTTTTATCATCTTCATTTACCCACATACCCAACTTAGATAGTCCAACACTATTACCACTTCCTTGCATACTTTAACACCTTTAATTCCCTCTACTTTAAACATCTGTGTTGGCAAACCCACAACCCTAGTGAAAGTCAACTTTCATCCTTCACCCAAATATTCTACGAACAGGTGAAGGCGACTGGAGAAAAACAAGCACTGGTGCTGACAGATCTCACTTTAAGTTTATAATCACAAGTCTCGAGTAGGTACCTCAATCTGCTGCCCTAATCATATTATATTTCCTAGTATATTTATTCTCCCACTTTCCAAGGTACTTATTTCACACTTTTTCTCCTCTCTTCTTAAATCAACAATACTTCCTTCTTCAACTTCAATCTCATTTGACTGATTTTTCTCATTTCATATTTACACACTGAGAAAAATGTCAGCTACCGCATCTTCCCATCACCAAATCTAACCTACCTGCATCTGTCTTTCCCCCTACCATATACAGTCTTCCTTCCTGCTACAATGGATGAACCACCCCTGCTCTATGACCAAACCCTCCATGGAGTGCATCTCATCCCATCTTGTGTCTTCAGGGATTCTTCTCTTCAACTATCACCTCACTGTCCTGCATTATAAATTTCTCCTTCTCTACTGGATCATTCCTATCAATCTTAAAAGCATGCTACAATATCTCCTTAAAAAAAAAAAATCCCTTGACCCCATATCCATCTCTAGCTACATCATTTCTGATCCCCTAAACAGTAAAATTCCTTTAAAGAGTTATCTGTAATCAATATACGTAGTTCTTTCCCTTCCCTTCTTCCATAAGCCAGTATAACTGGCTTTTGCCCCCATGGTCCCCTAAAACCATCTAGTCAAGGTCACCAATGGTCTCTACTTGCTATGTCACAGATTTACCAATCTGTGTTCATCATATTATTTGGCCAGACAACAACTGACTCAGTTGATCTTTCCCTCCTTCTTGAAACTTGACCTGACTTCTAGGCCATATAATCTCTTGGTTCTCCTCTTACCTCACAGACCATCTTAGTCTCCTTTGCTAGATCCTCTCCTCTTCCCGACTTCTAAACTCTGGTGCTTCCCAAGGGTTCTGTTTCTGCCTCTTCACTACTGAACTCTCTTTGTAGGTGTTTACATCTATGTCCACGATTTTAAATAACAACTATGCTCTGATAAATCCCTAATTTATATACTAGCCCCTGAAGTCTTCTCTAAGCACGAGACTCATGAGCCAAGGATTTACTCAAACATCTCCACATGGACGTTTAATAGGCATACCAAAGTTAAAACAGCCAAAACATTTTTTTTTTTTTAATTTTCCTCCCCAAATCTTCTCTCAGTCATTCTCATCTCAGTAAATGGCACCAACATTTACCCAATCATCCTCTAAGACTCTCTTTCCTTCATCTACCTAAATCTATTCCAGCAGCAAGTTCTGTCAACTCTACTTATAAAATATATCTGAATTTGACCACTTCTCACTACTTCCATTGTACCTCTGGTACAAACTACCATCATGTCTTCCTGGGATACTACAACAGACTCCTAACTGGTCTATTCACTGTCTCTCCTACCCTCCCCCCTGCTTACAGTCACTCTCCAGAGCAACCAGATTGTACAAAATCGTCTAAAGGCTTTCCATTATTCAGAATAAAACATAAATTCTTTGCCATGGCCCCAAAAGTACTATATAATTTTCTCTGAATTCATTTTCTACAACTCTATCCCTCATGTATTACCTTCCACTCCCTCCAAAATGACCTTCTGGCTCCTTGAATGCCAAGACTGTTTCTACCTCAAGGCCTACCAACGTAAGTTCCCTCCCTAGTCCCTCTACCTCCGAAATTTGCATCCCTTCAAATCCTACCTCATAAGTTACTCCCTCCTCGTTGCATAGATGTGCTATACTATAATTGCCCTCCACCTTCTTCGTAGCTACTAACGGACATAATAGCTACTAATGAACAGAAAGTATATGCCTTAGGGGGAGATGATTGTCTTCTGACAGACACAAAACATTTGTCTACCTTAGTGAGATAAAGGAAGAAGGATTGTTCACTGACATCAGTTAAGTCTAGAATAGCTGATCAGGAGATGGTCACACACCCTGAGGAGAGGGAAATGCGCAGCGCCTCTGCCTGCAGGGTTGCCTTTCCCTTTTATTACCTTCTTACCCTATTCTCTTTCTGTATATGCTGTTTGGCACATAATCATTCTAGCTTGCTAGTATATTAACCCCGAGAGAGGAGCTTTTGGGTTCCTTGTCCATGGTGTTAAGTGGGGCACACTGGTATCTGACCGTAACATCCCACCCTAGCACGAGAGCCTAACTTCGGGGAACCTTGGATGAGGATGATGTTTGCTGTTCTACTCTTTCCTGTCCTGTTTACTCTGTGAGTAATAAATACCTGTTGATCACATCATTAGAATTATGTCTGGCCCGTCTTCTGCTCTAAATGGTTCTTCACACTAAGAACCTGTGAACTCAGTACACTGTACCTCCTTCATTCTATCTGAAACAGAAGTTCCCACTCCTCCCCGACAGTGACTCTCTATTCCATTACACTAGTTATTCTTCATAATGCCTAAACTCTCTAAAATGATGTATCACTTTCTTTTGTCAACTTATTGTCTTTTTTTTTTTGTCAAGTTATTGTCTGTCTTCTTCCATTAGTATTTAAGTGTCATGAGGGCAAGAACCTTATTAGGTTTACCAGTGAGTTCTCAGAATTTAAAGCAATAGTTTTTTTTTTTTTTAATTTCAAGTAAGGTCAGTCACCTGAACTATTTATATTGCCATTAAAAAAAAATTATTGCCATTAAAAAAAATTCCCTAAATATACTAATAGACTGTGTACGACATAAAATATAAATACATTAGCTGTATGATAATATATTTTAACCTCACAACCTAGTTTTGAAGCTTTTTCTCCTGTGCAAGTAACGGTAGTAGACTCCTTTGTTATTTTTTCACTTTTTTCTTCTGAAGATCGCCGAGGTAAAACTGGTTGTCCCATCTTTCGAACAGGAGCTAGCTGCCATTTTTTAATCTCACTATCTCTGCATTCTGATGAGTTTTTGCCTTCACCAGATTCCTGGAAAATAGTATGTAATTCATTAGAAAGAAAACTATTAAACCATCTTTAAATATAAACCAAACCTCAAAGGTATGTGGAGGGAAAAAAATTAAACCTAATTAATATTAAAAACCAATGAAGATATCAAACATATTTTATTCTTTAATCCAGCAATTGTTTAAAAGTTTTTTAAAAAGATTTATGAAAACAGCTCTCAATTACTAGCACAAAAGATTGACCCTTTTATTCAAAATCCATTTGTTAAGCACCTATTTTCTGCAATACCATACTTGGCACAGAAAAAGACCTCAATAAATAGTTCAACATAAAATCCAAGGATAAGAAGTGACAACTGAAAAACAGATTCCAAAAACTAAAATCAGACAAGTCTCAATAAAATTGAGCAGTCCAACATCAAAAAGAAAAGGAAACAATCACTTGGATAGGGCATGCATTTCAAAATCAGATTAACTTCATTTTCTTTTCTGATATCAAGTCTCAGACTGGTATACAGAGGGAAGTTTCTCAAAATGTTAACAATGTTAATATTTTATACTCCCTTTTTTGGCAAGATGGAGATAACTGAACTAAACGACAATACGACGATGGTCTAAATGGTCAAGAAATCATATACAAGAAGTGATGATCAATGGTTAATCATAAATAAAAGCTTTCCAAAACATGCTAAAAACTGTTCCTGAGGGGGCTCTCAGATCCATTTTATCAATTAATTTGATGTTAATCAAAACAGATATAGGGCGGAGCCAACACGGCACCCTAAACAGAAGCATCATGCTGTCCCTCTGCAGCAAAGACCCAAAAAACTAAGTAAAACAAATACAAACGTCAATCCTGGAACCCTAAGCATCAAATGAAGGGATAAAGAATTAGATAAGACAACAAAGAACAGAAGAAACCAAACAAAAACAGAGACCAAGGAGAGATACAGAGTGGAAGTCACCTGTCAACTAACACAGCACAGCTTTGCCATCTTGCAGCACAGTCAGAAACAACTCTGGACAGGGAATATAGGAAGGCAACTCCATGGAGCTCCCAATAGGAGACAGAGCACCTGGTCATCAGGAAAACACGCTTTCCCACCCCGACCCTTCTGCCCTGTACGCCACCCCAGCACTTCCTGATGGGCCGTGCTGTGCCGCTCAGCTACAGCGCTACTGGCCTGCCATCACTTCGGCTTCCTCCTCAACCCCATCCCCACCCACTGGCTCTTGTCATGCCATTTTTTCCCTTTCTTGCTTTTCTTCCTCCCTCCCACCTAGCTCCATATGCCACCCCTACCCCTTCCAGATGAGCAACTCTGTACAGCTCAGCTAGAGAGCTACCTGCCTACCATTACTCCATATCTGTCCTGCACCCACCTGCTGGCTCCTACCATGCCATTCTTCTTTTTTTACCATACTTCCTTTTCTTTCTCCCTTCTACCTAGCCCCATACAGCACCTCTTCCCGCCAGGCTGTGCTGCACCACCAGAGGTAGAGAGCTAATGGCCTGAAGCCAGCCTAAATCGATCCCCACCTCTCCCACCCACTGGCTCCAGCTATGCCACTTTTTATTTTTTCCCTTTCTTCCTTTTCTTTCTCCTTCCCACCTAGCCCTGTACCCCACTTCTACCCCTTCCCACAGGGCAACACACCACAGTGCCTTGGCTAGAGAGCACTGGCCAATCGATACCCCTGGTCTATCCTGCCCCCCACCTGCTGGCTGCTGCTCTATCCTTTGTTTCTCTTTTTCCCTGTTCTTCTTTTTCTTTCTCTGTCCAACCTAGCCATGTACACCACCTCTATCACTTCCCACCGGGCCTTGCCACACCGCCATGGGTAGAGAGCTACTGACCCGCCACCACCATGGGTACCCCATACCCTCAACTGCCAACTTCCACAGCGCCATTTTCCCCCCTTTCTTCCTTTTCTTTCTCCCTACCACCTAGCCCTGTATGCCATGTCTACCCCCTCCTGCCAAGGCACGCCATACTGCTGTGGGTAGAGAACCACTAGCATGCTGCTAATCTGGACCCACCTCACCCCCACTGGCTCCCACCACACCATTCTTCTTTTTTTCCCCTTCTTCCTTTTCTTTCTCCCTCCCACCTACACCCATACGCCACCTCTCTTTCTGTCAAGCTACGCCACACTGCTGTGGCTGGGGAGCCAGAGGCCCAGTGCCACCCTGGGACTGACTCACCCCCACTGCCATATCCTACTGCACCATTTTTTCTTTTTCTTTCCCTTTTTTCTTTTTCCCTCCCACCTACTCTGTACAACACATCATCCCCCCTTCCACAGACCCCCATGTCTGCTCTACCCCAATGCACCAGCTATTCTTTATCCTTTCTGTTCTCCTTACCTAACCTCATACACCACCCCTCCCTTCCTGCTGGCCTTCATGGTGCCACCGTGGCTACAGCATGCTCGGCTCAGGCCTGCAGCCACACCAGGCTCACATATCCCCTCCCTCCTGCCACTTGACCGGCTGCTGAATGGAGAGAAGCAAGCCCATACCACTCCCCGTCCAACACCCTCAATTCTCTGACAAGGGGCTGTGAATGCTCCCACACCACTCGACTAACACCAGGAGGCAGACAGCAACCACCCAGTCCGTCCTCAGCCACCCTGTCAAACCAGTATACAGCAAAGCAGGCGGGTCCTGTCAGCTGCTGTACAGAGTTATTGTGCCCACAGACGAACAAGTAGCAAAGCATGCCTGGCCCACTTGCCCTGATATAGCAAAACAAAACAAAGAAGCAGGATGAAAAAAACAAACACACAATAAATACAGAAAACAGTGTCTTAATGTCTTGGAGACAGCAAACAATTATCAAAAAATATAAAAAGCAGGACAAGATGGCTCCAGCAAATAACCAAAATAAAGAAACAGATGATCTTCCAGTACAAGAAAAGGCAGTAAAACTACCTGATATGGAATTCAAAGTTTAATATTTAAGGCTCTCCAAGAGATAGATAAAGAGATCAAGGAAAACCAAGAAAAAAATAGAAAAAAAATATAGAAAACTAACAAAAACAGTCAAAATCAAGAATAACAAATAGAAGAATTCAAGAAAATAATACAAGAACAAAACATCAAAATGAATAAACAAGCGGAAATCATATAAAAACAGCAAGTACCACTACAAAAGATAAACAACAAAATTTCAGAAATGGACAACTCAATAGAAGGTTTTAGGAGCAAATGTGAAACAATGGAAGATAAAATCAGCAACATTAAAGACAAACCCATGGACGTCACTTTGAGGAAAAATCGGACAAAAGAATGAAGAAAAATGAAGAAAACCTAAGAATTATGTGTGCCACAATGAGGAGCAAAAATGTGCATGTAATAGGAGTTCCAGAACAGGAGGAGAAAAAGGAAAACACAGAGAAGACTATTGAAGATTTGCTGGCAGAAAACTTCCCAAATATCATGAAAGAAGAAAAGCTGACCATCCAAGAAGCTCAATGAAAGCCATATAGGATAGACTCCAAAAGAAAGTCACCAAGACATATCATAATCACACTTGCCAAAATCAAAGACAAAGAAAGAATCCTGAGAGCAGCTCTAGAAAAACAAACCATTTACAAAGAGGAAACAGTAAGACTAAACTATTATTACTGGCAGAAACTATGCAGGCAAGAAGACAACGGGATGACATATATAAAACCTCAAAAGAAAACAACCGCCAACCAAGAATAATAAACAACAAAACTCTTTCTTAAATACTTCGGTGAAATTAGGAAGGACATTTCCAGAAAAACAGAAATTAAGGGAATTTGTAAAAACCAAACCAAACTTACAAGAAATATTAAAGGGAGTCCTTCAGTTAGAGAATGCACAACATCAGACAAGAACTGGAATCTAGAATATAGGACAGCACCAACCAGATATTAATCTAGGTAAAGAATTCTCAAAATAAAAGACAGCTAAAAGACTTGAAACAGGGAAACAGTGATGTCACTCTATAAATGACGACAACATCAAAACAATACACAAGGGAATAAACAGTGTAGGTATAAAACTTTCAAATAGAGAGGAAGTCAAGGTGATATCATGTAATAAAGGACTGGTTTAAACTTAGGAGGCTAAGGGTAAATTTCAAGGTAACCACAAAGGAAGCTAACAAGTCTACTCATCAGAATGAAAAAGAAGAACATAAAGCTCAATAAACACAAAATCTATAATAACAAAAGAAAAGAAAATCCACAAGCAAAAGGAACTCAGCACAGGAGAGTAAGAGGAACACAGAAAACATTAGAACCAAAAAAAAAAAAAAAAAGCACATGACAGGAATAAAGTCATACCTATTGATAATCACACTGAATGTAAACGGATTAATTACGCCTGTAAAGAAACAGAGACTGGCAGAATGGATTAAAAAAAAACACGACCCACCAATATAATGTCTATGAGAGACACATGTTAGCCAAAACATAAAGACATAAATATGTTAAAAATCAAAGGGTGGAAAAAAATATCAAACAAACAGTAACTAAGAAAGGACAGGAGTGTCAATACTAATCTCAGATAAAGTACACTAAGGCAAAAATCAACCATAAAAGTCAAGGAAGGACATTATATAATGATTAAAAGGACAATCCACCAAGAAGACAAAACCATAATAAATATCTACTCACCAACAACAAGGTTCCAAAATGCAAAAAATAAACTCTAACAACATTTAAGAGAAATACACAGTTCCACAATAATAGCAGAAGACACAACACACCACCCTCAGTGATGGACAGAAACTCAACAAAGACACAGAAGATCTAAAGGCCAAAATCAACCAATATGACCACACAGATATATACAGAACTCTCCACCCACCAAAAGCAAAGTACACATTTGTCACGGATTGTGTCCCCCCAAAATATCTGTAAATTTGGCTAGGTCATGATTCCTAGTACTGTATGACTGTCTACCACTTCATTATCTGATGCAATTTCCCTGTGTGTTGTAAATGCTATCACTATGATGTAATAAAATGGATTAGCAGCAGTTATATTGATGGGGTCTACAAGATTAGGTAGTGTCTTAAGCCGATCTCTTTAGAAATATAAAAGAGAAAAGCCAGCAGAGAGACATGGGGACCTCATACCACCAAGAAAGCACTTCCATAAGCAGAGCATGTCCTTTGCACCTGGGGTTCCTGTGCAGAGAAACTCCTAGTCCAGGGGAAGACTGACAAGAAGGACATTCCTCCAGAGCCGACACAGAGAGAAAACCTTCCCCTTGAGCAGACGCCCTGAATTTGGACTTCTTGCCTACTTTACTGTGAGAAAATAGATTTTTCTTTGTTAAACCCATTCGTTTGTGGTATTTCTGTTACAGGAGCATTAGATGACTAAGACAACATTCTTTTCAAATGCACATGGAACATTCTCCAGAACAGACCTCATTTCAGGCAACAAAGCAACCCTCAATAAAATCCAAAACATGGAAATAATACAAAGCATCTTCTCTGATCATAATACTATAAAAGTAGAAATCAGTAACAGAAGATCAAGGAAAAAAAAATCAATTACATGGAAACTGAATAACACCTTGCTTTAAAACAACTGGGTAATAAAAGAAATCAAAGAGGGACTTTTAAAAAATTCTTAGATTCAAATGAGAAAGAAAATATATCATACCAAAACATTTGGGACACAGCAAAGGCAGTACTCAGAGATCAATTTATAGCAATAAAAGCACACATCAAAAATGAAAAACAGGCCAAAATCAAAATGTTAGCCCTACAACTCAAAAGAAATAGAAAGAGAACAGCAAAAGAAGTCCACAGCCACATAACAAAGGAGATAATAAAGATCAGAGGAGAAATAAATGAAATAGAAAACAGAACAGAAGCAATCAACAAGACCAAAAGTTGGTTCTTTGAAAAGATAAACAAAATCGACAAACCACTAGCCAAACTGACAAAAGAAAAACAGGAGAGGAAGCAAATAACCTACATAAGAAATGAGACAAGGGAGATTACAACTGACCCAAATAGAATAAAAAGGATCGTAACAGAATACTATGAAAAATTGTGCTCCAACAAATTTGAGAACCTAGAGGAAATGGACAAATTTCTAGAAGTACACAACCTACCTAAAATAACATAAACTGAGACAGAAAATCTGATGTAACAAGAAGGGATTTAAGAGGTAGTTAAAAAAAAAAAAAAAAAAGACCTGGATCATGTGGCTTTACTGGAGAATTCTACCAAACACTCAGAGAAGAGGTCTCATCAGTATTACTCAAACTATTTCAGAGCACAGAAAAGGAAGGAAAACTCCCAAATCCATTTTATGAAGCCAGCATAACCCTGATACTGAAGCCAGGCAAAGACACTGCAAAAAAAGAAAATTACAGACCAGTATCTCTCACGAATATAGATGCAAAAATTCACAACAAAATTCCAGCCAACAGAATTCAGCTTTGTATCAAAAAAATAATACACCGTGACCAAATGGAATTTGTACCAGGTATGCAATGATGGTTCTGCATTAGAAAATCAATCAATGTAATCCACTAAATAAACAGAACAAAGGAAAAGAATCACATCATCATCTCAGTCTCGGGGGACATCTAGGTCAACTGGCATAACATAGTTAATAAAGAAAATGTTCTACATCCTACTTTGGTGAATAGTGTCTGGGGTCTAAAAAGCTTGCAAGAAGCCACCTAAAAAACATCTATTGGTCCCATCACGTTTACAGCAAAGGAGAATGAAGAAAACCAAGGACGCAAGGAAAATATCAGTCCAAAGGACTAATGGACATGAACTCCAGCTTCCACTAGCCTGAGCCCAGAGAAACTAGATGGTGCCTGGTTACCACCACCAACTGCTCTGACAGGGATCACAATAGAGGGTTCTGGACAGAGTGAGAGAAAAATGTAGAGCAAAATTCAAATTCACAAAAAAAGACCAAACTTACTAATCTGACAGACTCTGGAAGGACCCCCGAAACTATGGCCCCTGGACACCCTGCTGACTCAGAACTGAAGCCACTCCCAAAGTCCACCTTTCAGTCAAAAATTAGACAGGCCTATAAAACAATAACACATGTGAGGAACGTGCTTTTAAGCTCAATCAAGTATAGGAGACCTAATGTGCAATAACTGCCCAAAAGCAAAGATGAGAAGGCAGGAAAGGACATGAAACCTGGATAAATGGACACGGGGAACTGAGGGTGTAAAGCGAAAGCGAAGAGTGCTCACACATTGCGGGGATTGCAACCAATGTCACAAAACAGTCTGTGTATAAATTTTTGAATCAGAAACTAATTAGCACTGTGAACTTTCACCTAAAGCACAATTAAAAAAAAAAAAAACACAGATATAGCGATAGCAAACATCAGAAGGACAGAACTTGATCCTCAAAAATTCTCAGAAGACAGAAAACACTGGATGCCACAAGGATTTTGGCAAACTGGAGCTTACTCTAGAAGATTTTTTTCATGTAAAGAGCGTCTGAGAACTGTTTGTAAATAATGGAGACTACATGATCATGGTCTTCAATCTGATGAATTATTCATCTGAGAAACTACAAATCTAAAAACGTTTCTAGTATGCAAATTTTAGGTCACAATGAAGAACCTTCCAACAATTAGCTGCTTGAAAATTAAGACGCACGTATTCCCTTGTGTTGGTTTTCAAACAGAATCTAAGTCATCCCTTACTAGAAATGTTATACTGCATATTAATGAATCAGAATGTTAGACCAAAACAAGGTCCAAAGTTCCTTCCAACTTTGAAATTCATGTTGTCTTTGGGACTACAATATTTGCATATTTACATACATTTGTTATTGTGTTTCCTCCCTAGTACTAATCTTTACAATCAATCTGACTATACAAGAATAACAAAGCAATGATTATAAAAATCATAGGTAAGAAAAGATAAACAATGAAAATAAAGAAAATTTAGCACCATAAAATGTTTGTCCTTTATACTTTTCTCCTATTAGAGACTAAATATCTTGAAATTTCCATTTAGAAAACACTTTTGGAAAGTAGTTAGAAATATAAAATAAGAGAAAACTGACAACTTTCAGAATCCACCCTTTCAGAAAAAAAATTATGAGGTGAAGGCTCAAAGCAAATACTGGAACAAAGGTCAAAAGAATTAAAGATTACTTTTTCTTACACGAAAAAAATAACTCACCCGGCAAAATAATAAGACCAAATGAGTTAAGAACTGGTAGAGATTTACAGGCTAAAAACTTTCTGAAAAACTTAATGGCAAGTACATTTTATACTTAAGACCACAAGATCACACATATATTTTACACACAGAAAATCCAAGTAACAAACTAGAAACTGAAACAGCACAAAACAAGACTGTAAGAAATAAGACTTGAATATTCTGAAGATGTCACAACCTAGTCACAACCTAGTTTCACAAGGATTGCCGAACAATTTTAAATAAAAATCCATAGATTTTTACGGAAAAATAAATTCTAAAATGTACAGTGGAACACTGATACCTAAAGAAAAATTTTGAAATTCTTGGCCAGTCCATATAAAGTTCTTAAATAACAAAAGAATGTATTCATGAGCTTACCCGTTTCAAAATTTTGACCTTGTGTTTCACTGTATCATCTATATATTTGTTTTTTTCATTGGTTGGTGTGTGTTTTAATAACCCAAGCTTTTCACACTCCATTGTTTTATCTTCACTGTGAATTTCAACTTTAGCTTGGTTTTCCAAAATATCTGGATCTAATATTTCAGTCTTTTTATCTTCTTCAGCACAACATTTCACACACACATATTCTTTGTCTTCCTCTCCCATTTGTTGTGCTTGGGAAAGACTTAACCCAACACAGTCACCATGAAACCAGTCATCACATCTCCCACAGCCAACCATAAACCTGGAGAGGGGGAAAAGAAACTTTGATTTGATACAGGTTTACAAAGTCAATGTCAAAAGTGCATCTAAATAAAATTTCCAATACTTGATTTTCTGAGATACTGTACATGTTCTCCAAGTTTCCTCATTCTGTAAGTCCAACAAAAAGCAAGTTTTCAATGGAAAGAGTATTCTATACAAATAGAATCTTTAAAGATTTAAAATACTTCCCCTCTGGTATGAATACAAACAAAACAAAAATCAAACAACATCCCACAAAGATGAAAATAAAAGATAATGACCAAAATATAGACTATTTCTCCACTGAGAAGCTCTCTGTGATAATCTGATTACAGACAATTCATCAAAGTTACAGCTACATTACCACACAGACCTGAATTCATACACAAAAAGGGGGGAGGTTTATCCAACAAACTATTAAAAAAAAAATCCAAAAAAAGCAGCAATAAAAAATGTACCTCAAAAACTAATAAACTGATTATTAAACAACTACATGACTATTCTTTAAGCTCAAAATATTCGGATTCAGGAATTCACATTCAACTGAAGACTCTTTTGATATACTTTTGTGTGTGAAGACTTCTTACTACTGACCATGGGTTTTAGACAATAAACTTGTTTTTCAAAATAAAGATCAGTATAATCTCCTAACATGAAGATATTAATATACAGGTTTAATTTTTTTAATCTTTCAGTACAAACAATCCTATAAAAAAATTTCTCCTTACTGCATTTTATTTAAGAATTAACTCCACTAACCAACAGGAACAGTAGAAAGACACAAGATTTATGACCTTAAGTTTTTTCTTAGAAAGAGTATCTGGAATTACTTTTGAATGACAAATCAAAACAATATAAAATAGTAATCTGAGAATTTTTTTTAATATACTTTTAAACCCATTGTTAGAAAAACTGCAAAGCTCATTTGAAATAAAAATGTTGAACATTTTCATTTTTCTGTCTTTAGGTTAGCAATTCATGGTATGTTAAAAAGATTAAGATAGAAGGGTTTAGGAATATAAATTCCTTAATAATCTAACAGATACTTGTATTACTGATTTGGACGACACTGCGTAAGCGTCAAAACTTCTTTTAAAAACCAGTGGTCCAGCAGGAGGATGTTAAAGGAGATACAGTCAACACTCTCTAAATATACCAGAAGTGAATCTCTTTTAATAGTGGAACGAACTATAAAAATTAAAACAAGGAGTTTCAATCCTTAAAGGGCATCTTAAAAAAGGCATACCCAACACTCCATTCTTGAATAGCAGTAATTTCTTCTTCTGCTTTTCTATTGTGTATCAAACTACTACTGTGCAATTAGACTTGACTTCATACCTACAATTCATCATTCTTCACTCTCACTGTGATGCCTTTGCTATCTTTATAAATCCTCATCTTCCCAATGATTTGGTTAAAAAAACAAAAAAAGCTTCAATGCCTGTGTCCAGAAAATACAAAATATTCTGGATCTACATGCCTAATAAACTTTCAAACAATGCAATATTTGTTTGCAAGACAGAAATGGTTTCTCAAGGTTTGAGGAGATTTTTGATGGATCCATGTTACAGATACAGATCTTCCTGCCAATAGAAAAATAAAAGGTTTGACTAATGCAGTGCTTGAAAGTGCTTCGATTTCACGTTGCAAAGTAACAAGAACTGCTATTTCTGGAAAGCAACTGTCTAATTTGATGTCTTTTGAAATACTGAAGGAAAGCTAATTGTGATTTCCCTTTACCTCCCTAATCAAAGCCACATTATCATTTCTTCAAAGCAAATCTGAAATAGTCTCAGTAAGGAACTGCTTAATTAAAAACCTACACTGACTACACTTCTGCCCCAAACTCAAATATAAATGTAAAATTATAAAGATCATTTTAAGAACTTTTTAAATCTTTATTTGACCAGGGAAGAGTGGTTTTATGATTGTGAAATTTATTAAGGAATATTTCAAGCTTATTTTGGAAATGTGTCCAGCAAACTTGACTCTGAAAAGCAAATCTCTTAGTACCATCTACAGATTCACCTTAATATAGTTTAGATTTTATGTGAGATAAAATTTTCTGAGAAATCAAGAAAAAAGGAGTATTTAAAAAAAAAAGAAAAAAGAGTATTGATAAAAAATTTTTCCACACGTCCTGGGTGATGTATTTTACCTTAAAATAAAAATTAATGCAACTGATGTAAATATGGATTGTTCTTAGATCTAAAACTGAACAGTAATATGAACTTAACAAATCATGTTAAAAGACGGTCTATCACAAAGAGAGAATATATTTTCTTTCCTTCTCATGTTATTTCTCATAGTTTAAAAACATATGGGCCATACAGCTAACAGAATTACTCTCCCACTTTCTACCTTGTCACTCAGTTTCTCATTACTAACAGGCAAAAATCATTTAAGGAAAATAGATAATCTGCATGTTAAATTTTTTACTAAAAAATCTATGTTGTGTGGAGTTCAGCTCTTGATCAACTAATTGAAACAGAGCAATACAAATAAGCTAATTGAAGAGTTCAACAATATTCATGCTGCCTTCTCCTAGTGTTACCTATTCATATACGAAATAGTAAAAATAAAAATCTTGACCTAAGACCATGAGAAACTAATTTAAAATTCTAATATTAACTTTGTATGAGCCAAAAAATATTCTTAGAAAATTTTTAACTTCTTCAAAGTAAGGTAGAGACAACATCGAGAACTCCGATTATTAGCAATTCATGCTGTAGGCTAACACTGTAGCTGTCACAAGGCGGGCCTTCAATTTTGATGTTTCCTTTAAGTGACAGTACAGGCCCATGTTATTGTAAATATATATGTACTCACTTTTTTCTGATGAAAGGACTCTATTCCACAGAAACATTAAATCATCTTAGCGTTACTAATAATCTAAATCTGCAAAGAAAAATATTTGTCTACAGAACTCTTAAAAACCTGAGAAAAACCAGAACAATTTATTCTAGAAATTTCGTTCTCAAAAAAGGAATTCTTGTTTGAGTATAAAACTCTGAATCCATTTTGCTAGCGAGGTTTATTTAGTTTTGTTTGTTAATTTCACCTACTATGCTATCCTTCTACAACAAGGTCAAGAGATTGTATTGCAGACCAAAGATACAAAGGTCTTTTGGAAAGATACGGAAGTAACAAAAACTACAAGGTAGATAATACGGAAAGGCTTCTTCTTCCTTCCAAAATGCCAACTGCCTTATGTTTTTAGGAAGTGCAAAGATTACATTATTTAAAAAAAAAGATTATTAAATGGTCTTTTCTTTTTTTAAATAATGTAACTTTGTTGTAAAGCTGAAATCAGGAAAATAGAAGCAAAACAGCATGACATGTAAATTATTAAAGTCAATAACTACTGTCTTTTATGATGTGTACATATCTGCCTATGGTCAAATATCAACATGTGGCCAGGCTATGACTAAATCTACTATTACAAAATATAATTTTCCACTAGAAGCACATCCAAGGAAGCTAACCTCAATTGCAATGCATGTAAAATGCCAAAAAATTAAGCAGCTTTTCAGAAGCAAAGCTGTTACAAGTGCTAGGAAATATGTCATATTAACAGCTTTCAATGTGGCTAGTGCTACTTCCAGATATTCCCTTCTTATAAATTCATATTCTTACACATGGCTTAAAATAGAAAAACCTCATGCTGCATGCCAAGCACATTTTTTTTCCTTTTTGAGTAAATTCAATGTATATACAAGAACACTGTATCAAAGAGGCAGTCATGGATAGTTAATATGTAAAGAAAAAACAATCAATTACTTAGGCTTCTTTATTCACAAAATTGAAGTAATCTTAAATGTTGCTTCCAAAATTGACCATTTCCAATAATATTATATATTACCCAGGTCAATTACACAGGGTGAACTCAAATTTCCTACACACTTAACATTCTAAGTCATTTTCCAGGCTGGAGCAAAGAAACTACAGATTTTATACAGTAGATCCAAAAGGAGGCACTAGGTAAAAGACACTGACGAAACACCTAATCTTCATTTTAGGAAAATTATTGATGTTGGTAAAATGACAGTAATCATTAAAAAGCCTGGGCAAAACCCTGAAGACTGGGCAATCAGAATACAAGTTTACCTACAAAAAGCGACAGTACAATATACTTAACATGGCTTCCAACTCTATGCCAGTTCAATATTACAAACTCATTCACTTTAAGGCTGTTATTCCATTTCTCTGACCAAGTATCACTGGTGGGTTTTAAAAGAGTCTGGCAAGAAAAGGGCTGGCTTAAAAGAGCACTAAAAAGCACCTCAACCCTTAATTGTCTTAGGCCAGGTCCCATATTAGAATATCTGAATAAGGTGTTTTAAACCAAAAGCCATAAAGATCACATAAGTGAGGGCAAATGTAGCACTATATTCCAACAATTGTAATTTCTAAAAAACTGGAATATGTTATAAAGGAATCTCTGACACTAAAAATAAGACCACAGGCTGAATCACAAAGAAACCCCTCAAGATAAAATTCAGGTTATTTTTGACAGACTAGCCCCACAACATCTCCCAGCTATTCTCCAACCGCCGTCCCACCACTGAAAGAATGTTCTACAGCACACTTTAGTAAACTGTCCCTCCCTAAAGAGTTTCATTTTCATGTAATCTGATAGTGGCTGGAGAAGTCACTCTAACATTTACTTTCATGAATAAGAATAGTATTATAGTGTACAAGTTATAATGTTCTTTTATCATATCAGTGTTGATAGACGCTCCAACAGCAATCTGAACACGTGAACAGGATGATCTTGTAGCTGCAAACTCCACTTCATCTTGTTTCTCTTTTCTTTAAAGCAAATAAACAAAAAATACACTGGGGAAGGGGAGGTGAAGGAAACAGTGTCTGAAACTACAAAACACTGAATCCTAAGGAAAAAATTATGAAGGGCACGCTGCTAAAATTTTAACAGATACGTGAACATTAGAAAATAAACACATTTTTCACTCTGTTCCATGTTACATACAAATTTCACTTGGATAATCTAACAATTATCTTAGCTATTAAATTCCAAGGTCAAGTTTGATAGTTATAAAGTGGTGGCATTGAGTCATAGTAAGTGTGCTTCATTTTTTCAAAAGAAAAATAGAATTTCCATTATGACCTTCATACTTTATTACTAGTTCTTTTCAAGCCAAATAAAATGATATATAACTTACAGATCCCTGGAAGTATAACATTTTTTTGTGTAGCAGAAAGTTTGTTTTTTCAGAGGCAACCACTAAATTACACTCCCTAACTGGTTACAATGACAAAACATTTCCAAAGATACCAGTTAATGGTTAAATTATATTTTGTAAAATGTTCTACAACGATTTATTTGTAAATTTGATGGCTCCATCTTTCTATCATTTATCCAGGATTGATGAAGGGGGGGGTTATTTTTGCAAAGCCTTTGTATGTTAAATAATTTATTTTTGTGTGTGTAACAGTTCTCACATTACCCCACCCCAAAAAAGCAGTTTCTCTTAAATGTACACACATCACACATACACACACACACACCTGTTGCCATGTGGTTTTTTGCAAAAACCACACTGCTTGCTGGGAGTCCACACATATTTGTTTTCAAATAAGGAGCCATGATCTGAGCCTTCTCTTTTTACAGTAGCTATGTTGTCTGGAATGAATAATGGTGGCTCATCCAAAGAAAAACTTTTGCTGCTTCTTCTTTGGCGGGGTTGTAGGTTCTTCTCAGGTTTTTTTAGTTTCAGTTTATCCTCCTCCTTAAAATGCTCTACACCTGCATGTTCAAGCTCTTCCTTCACATGACTATTGGTTTTCATTGTGGGAGCCTGCTGCTGGGGCTTATGGCACTGCTTCTGGCTGGAATGTAGCAAATATCCAGCTTGTGATGGATGATGAGGTTCTTTAGAGCAAGCAGGATGACCATGAGTCTTATCACTCAAAGAATGGGTCAAGGATTTAGAGGTCTGCACTAAATTTTGATCCTGTGATGTTTTTTTAAATACCAAATGAGCTTGACTTTTCACAGATTTAACCCCAGAATTGCTACTCTGAATCTTTAAATCTTTATCAACTTGTTTTTTTCTCACTTTGACAGGCCTATGAAAATTCTGCTGAGATTCTGATTCATTAGCATTTCGTTTCACACTTTTAACATTAACTTTGTTTTTGTTATGCATTACTTCATGCTTTGCCCCAACAATTTTCTTTGGAGTATCTGTTGTCATGTTTTGCTTAGAATGAACTGTAGGTTTTGTATGTTTGGATTTCATGTTTTTTGTCTCTGAGCAAGAAACACTACTTGACTGGCTGTTTCTATCGTCCTGAAGGTTTGCTGTATCATGGGGCTCCGTTTTAATACTTTCAACATGCTCTTTTGCATTTTGGTCAGGAGCATCACAAATAGCACTTTCTAAAATATTACTTTCTGGCTCAAAAGCAGCAGTATCAATAATCTCTAAGTTTGGTTTATTAAATTCAGTACTTTGCAACTGCTGATCATTAGACTCTGCATCTTTACAATAACCCAGTGGTTCTATTTTATTTCCTAGAATGGAGTTCTTAGATTTATCAGCAACTTCCACGGCATTCTTCAATTCCAAATTACATTCAGTTGCCTCACCAACAGAAGTAGACAAACCTTCAAGGTTCTTTTCTGTCTTATTTGGATTTGTACAAGCAGTATCACCAGAAAGCGCAGCAGCAGATCCAATCTCCTCAACAATTTGGTCACCCTCACTGGATAATTTTACTGTCCCCTTTGATTCTTGTTCAGTTTTTCCCTTTGCCCTCATTTCTTCAACAATAATCCTATCCATTTTATCTGAAATGGAATCATTTTGTTCATGCTCTTCTTTACCTGAAAACTTAAACAATGGGCTACTGACAGTCTTGATTTTACATTCCATCAGAATGTCATTTTTCTTTTCTTCAATACTGACACAAGTCTCTGAAAGAAGTGGACAACTTAATTCATGAGATGGCACATTTGCTTCTCCCTGATTATTACACTTATGCTTAGAATCTAGTTCAGCTTCATCCTTCATTTCAAGACAAGATGACACTGAAGAATGACTTGAAGACACTGATTCTTCTGGTACCACTTCTATGTGTCCAATATGTCGGCTGCTCCTTCTGCTCTCTGTATGGTACTCAGGTTTCAGTGATGCACAAACTTCTTCTTTAATCTGACACTTTTCTGGTTGTCTTACTCCTGCTTTAGGGGCAGATACAGTCTTCCCAGATGTTTTTTTTGTGCTACTTAAAGGTGATGAATTTGAACGCTTGGCAATAGTGCTCTGTCGCAAACTTCTTACTTGTTCTATCACAAGGAAAAAAAATAAATAAAAACAACTTAGCTATTTTGCCATGTGTTTTTATTTCAATATAAATTACAGCATATCATTTCTTTATTCTGAGCTATAAAATATATTTTTCTCATTTCAATGAAAATATACTGAATCACTCAAAATGGTGACTGACATGTATATGTTTAATTTTGTATTTATCGAAGTTCTCTGAATGCTGTCAGAGGGGAAGAAAACCTCTATAAAACCCAGACTGATATTATATCTTTTTTATAAGGAGCCTTGGTGGCATAAAATAAGTAAAATTAACTTCCTTTACCATTAATGCTGGTCTTAAGCAAGACTGTCGTACAAGTTTTAGACATTAAATATTTCTAAATATATAAAACCAAACAAATTCAGGTGCCTATAAAATCTAAACTAAAACCACCTATCATAAACAGGCTCTGCATAAGTATACTGGTACAGCTTCAAAAGAACTCTAATTACTTTATGAATATGGCTTCACTTCTACCACCATTTTAACATTCAAATTATTCCTCAAAGAGAAAAAATGATGTATACACTACACTACCACATACAAATCACAAAAAAAAAAAATGCAACTAAAATGCTTTAAATCAAGAAAATGATCATATCCTGAGGTTCACCCTTCAGCCAAAAGTTAGACAGGCCCATAAAACAAAATGAGACTAAAGGGCACACCAGCCAAGGTAAAAGAACTAGAAAGGAGGAGGAGACAACAGGTCGAGAAAGGAGAGTGCTGACATGCTGTGGGGTTGGTAATCAATGTCACAAAACAGTATGTGTGCTAATTGTTTACTGAGAAGCTAGTTTGTTCTGTAAACCTTCATCTAAAGTACAACTTAAAAAAAAAAAAAAAAAAAAAAAAGATCTATCCTGAAGAAAAAGAAAATGATCATAAGGGAAGTATGGAAATAATTTAAGCAAACTTCCCACTTTTAACAAGGGTCCTAACAAAGCTCTATTAAATGCATTTTTCTTCCTTTCCCTAACCTGATACATACTCCAGGGGAAGGAAAAACACAGAGTGAAAAGAAAACTGGGAAAAAAACAGATGTGAATAATTCACTAAATAGAGAAACTGTCTATATGCTAAATTAAAAAATATGAAGTTGTTCCAAGGCTATGCATATCCAACATCTCTGAATCCATTCTACATTTGAGACTACAAAAAAAAATAAAAAATACAGACCCCTACCTGTCAATGCAAAACCATTCTATGTTCCAAAATTAAGAACAGTTCCCTGGTTTGTCATTTATTATCGTGAGGAACTTAAGGTGCCATACATTCTCATTTGTCTGGAATAGTCCCAGGTAATGCCTGAAGTCCTAATTAATAGCACCCTTTCACTCTCAAAAGTGCCCCAATTAGGACAATTAATTATATGGTTGTCCTAATCTTAGACACCCATTGTAATTCTCCCAGGACGTAGCCCAGTATTTGGCCATTAGATAATTACTCAACAATTTTTTAAAACTATTCAGTGAATTATGAACTGTTTATCACATGCTCAGATACGGGATAGTAACATTTTAAAATAACAAATTTAAATGAAGGTTTGTTATCAATATTTAGATGATTTTTGAAGCTTTGAAGAAGACAGTGTGTAGTAATTCACAGCTCTACCTTAATCACTTGCCCTGAAATAAATGAAGAGCTTTTAACACCCATTACCTAAGTAGATGTAAAAATAACGAATTATAGCATATTCAACTGTTTTTTCCAATAGTAATTAATTTATTAAGTAAAAGATAAAGTCACTTTTTCTCTTCTAAATATAAACTGCATTAGTTTGAAGCCTGACTGCATAGGCTCAAAATTACCATTATTTGTCTACAATGTTCACTTTATTCTTTTCATTTTTCAAAGTCATGAGTAGATACCAAATGCATTTAAGTTTTTCATTTCTAAAATCTCACTAAAGCTACAGTAAAGGGAATTTTCTTGAAAAGATGTATTTTCCAAAAAGAAAAAAAGAACAAAAGAGAGAAAACAGTGACAAATTTTGGAAGTCAAATAAGAGATCATCACAAAGTAATTGATGTAGGAGACCCAAGTGAGACAAACACCAAGCAGGCAGTGTTAGCAAAAACCAACACCATTAACACCACAGAATCCTCACAAGACTTGAAAACTGGTGGCCCCAAATGCTTCTAAAGCGGGGATGAAGGAAGGTGGTTAAAAGGAGGATGGGTTGAAAGTTATTAAAGGAACAGTTAGATCCCTAGATCCCTCTTGTCCAGTCCACCTGCTGAACAACTTCCCTTCCCTAGCCCTAACCCAAGACTGGAGGTTTATTTTCCAGAAAGAGTAACACAGGGTTTCCAGACTAGAGAATATCAGGCACAGTTGAGAATGGCAGTAAAGTATACTGAAATTTGTGAGATTAAGTGAATTTGTATATACTGACTGCTGAGATGCCCCTAGACAACTTTCCTCAGTGACTCTCAGAATAAGTAATTAATTTATTGCTCATTTAATAGCATTCTAATGAATCTACGGGGAATAACCTAATTTCTGACATCAGAGGTTCCACTAAAAAACAGTGCAGCCAGATCACCATACTGTGAAGCTCACAGTTCACAAAGCCCAACCCACACACTTAGAGATACCTAATAGTTTTAGTCCTTACCCTTAAATATGAGCTAAGAACAAAGAATCAGGCATTTCAGGAAGTATTTAACATGAAAGATGGAAGGCAGCAAACAATTTAAAAAAAAACTGCAAGACGGAGGAAAGAGAAACTTTAAAAGGAGATAAAAACTTTTAAAATACCACAAGCATCTTAAGAAACAAGAGAAGATACTGCATCCATAAAACAAGAACAGGATGCTACAAAAAAACACCGTTCCCCAAACAAAAAAGAACACCTATAAATTAGAAATGCAAAAGTTGACAGGAAGGTTGGAGGATAAAGATGAGAAAATCTCAGCAAGGTAGAGCAAAACGACAGAGAGATGCAAAGCAGACAAATAAAGAAAATGGGAGGGGCAGTCCACATTAGATAACATTTGAGTAACAGGAGTTCCAGAAAGCAAGAGCTAAGACAATAAGGAGGGGAATCATCAATGAACTAATTCAAGAAATTTTCCCAGAACTGAATAATAGTTTTCAGACTAAAAGGGACTACTGAGTATCCAGCTCAGTACACAAAATATACCCACACCAAGACACATTATCATGAACTATCAAAACACTGGAGCTGCAGAGAAAGATATAACAAATTTCCAGAAAAAAACAGACAACATAACAAAAAAAAAAAAAAAGGAATCAGACCAAAGTTAGAAGTAGAACATCACCTTCAAATTTCTGAAGGAAAATGATTTCCAATCTTAGCTCTGTGTCCAACCAGACCATGATTCCAGTGTTAGGACAGATTAAATACATTTGCAGACATGCAAAGATTCAACAATGTATCTCCATGGCTCTTTTACTCAGGAAGCTAATGGAGGAGGTGTGTCATCAAAATGAAGGAGTTAAACCAAGAAAGCAGAAATAGGAAATAAAACACAAAGCACAGACTCCTCAGAAGAATGGTAAAGGGAGATCCTCGGATAACAGCTATGTACCAGGCTTATCAAGCTACCACCAATCCACACTGAAGAGAATCAGAAGATTCCAAGAGACTTCGTCAGTGAAATGAAACTGACAGAATAACTGATATGCATAAACACCTTTAGAGAAGATATAGACAACTGGCAAAGGAGCTGAGGGGTAATTACTAGCATGTACATAAAAAACTAAGCAAATGAAATCAAAAGCAATTATTAAATCAGAAAAACAAAAAGCAGTACAGGAAAAGAATAGTTTATTAAATGAATCATTTCCAATAGCATGTATAATCATAATAACATAAATAATTACTACTAGTCTAACAAAACTATATACAGGCAGTCCCTGGATTACAAATGAGTTCCATTCCTAACTCTGTCTTTAAGTTGAATTTGTACTTAAGTTGAACAGTTAAGTCCGGTTCATATCTAATGTCAGTCAAATGTACGTCTTAGTATACAGTATACCTTTCGATGCACAAAAAACATTAAAGAAATACTTTCAGGTTCACTACAACATCTTTAACATAGTAATACAGTAATAATAATAATAATGTTTTGGTGCAAGTCGCAAAGTAGCGCCCTTTTGTTATTACGGACCATTGTATGTACCTTGAATTTTTAATATAATAGCTTTACAGGGGTTAGTTCATAACTACAGGTTGTATGTAAGTTGAACGCTCGTAACCCGAGCACTGCCTGTACTGGAAGATGAGAAAATGTCCTTCTGTATGATTAGGACAAGAGGGAGAAAAAAATGCTAAATCCTCATCATCCAGAATAATAAAACAGCAGCAATATGTGCATTTATTTAGAAATATGGAGGTAAATACAAAAAGAAAAAACAGTGGGAAGATTTAACACTAATTTCCTCTGAGAAAAGGAAAATGAGTGGTGGGGTAGTGTGTACTGAAAACTGATGTTTTTCTTAAATCTTATAGAACTAGTCAAATCTTTAAACTATGTAAATGTTTAATTTCAGTAAAAAGTCTGACATTAATTATACCAAGGTACTGACAAAATCTCAAAATGGATTACTATCAATAATGCTCAGACTAACAAATATCAAGAAAATAAGATTTCTGCTCAGCAAGCTTACAACCTAACACATCTCTCCCTACACCTCTGATTTTCTAGCCGGACCTCTTTGGAGGGATTACCTTGTGCCATTAAACGAGGTGATTTTCTTGGTGATCTTACTGAATTGTCTTCTACTTTGTCCCTCAAATTTCTGTTAGGTAAAATCAGTTCTTCTTCATCAATGGTATCATTGCCACTTTCTTTAACAACTCCTTCATCCATAATATCGTCAAGACCAACAACTAGAAAAAACAAAAAAACAAAAACAACAAAAAAATTAACTTTTGAAAATACTGGGGAAACGTTAAATATTTAAAGGTGGTATAGAAAATACTGTGAAACCATTTTAACGTAATAAATACAATGTCCTGAAAATCTAGATCTATTTCAAACATATGTGATACTGTCACTACCAAGCTACCAAATCAATTCAATTTTACAATTTCCTATCTCATGAGGTAGCTAGTTGAAGCAAAGATTAGTTATTCTCTTTCTTAGTTAGACTTCAGCTATCACTCTCACTTATCACTCATTGTCTTTTTGTGAATGTCATAGGTGATCATACCTGGATTACTCAATTATCTCAATTTTGGTTACAGAAGTACATGAGTTCAAAATCTTGCAAAGCTTATGCTAGCTAGGTTCACGCTAGGACCAAAAAATTCTAGTTCAAACTGGGATCCTACTACTCAGAGACTTCATGCTACAAGTGAGAGTAAACAATGGGGACATACTTTTGAGTGGTAGCAGAAAAAAAAAGAGAAATGAAAAACAATGTAATTACCCTCTCCCTCAAATGCTGACAAAAATGGTGCGTATTTAATGTAGCTATATAATTGAAATAATTTCTTTCAGTCAAAGGAGAGACAGAGTCACTTATTTAGAGGGGAGAGGGCGTGGGAAAGATTTAGAAACACATAAACACTGTAGTGATATTGTCACTGGGTTCATTTCCGTATAAAAACACAAATGCCACTAACTAGCCAACACTTACAAGCAATTCTAAAAGCACAATTGTATGAAATCTTGTAAAAAGAAGGTAATTATTTTGACCAGAAGGCCTGTATTCAAATCCCTGTTACAGCAATTAAATAAAACTTGGCCAAGTCACTTAACCTCTCTATAAGTTTTTTAATCACTAAAATGAAAATGACATCTTTCCTAGCTGCTTCACAGGGCTGTTGTGAGAATCAAATGAGAGCTTGTACTGTAAACTCACTTTGTAAACTTTAGAGCACTATGCAAATGTTAATTATTATCTTCATCCTAGATAAGGAACATCAAGAAGTTATATAGTCCTCATTTTGTATCCAAGAACTTCATTTAAAAGAGTTCAACAGGATAGTGATCTATGTTAAACTTTAAAGAGAATAAAATTCTTTATAAATATACTTTAAAATTGTAGAATCTTTTTGGAGATCAGTCTTACAAGTAGAATCACGAAACTGCTCATACAATTTGACCAAGGTAGAACAAGAAAGAATAGAAGGGGAAAAGGACTATGAAGAAAATTGCTAGCTAGAAAACAGTGTTTCTTGTTAGTAATAAGCAAACAAACAAATGAAATGTGAGTGTATGTACATTTAAAGTGAAAAAAATGATCGGTAGGAAACAGATGAAAATTGTAGCAGCAACTATTCTCTAAAAAATATTAAGACTGTAACTTTTTCTATTTCTGAATTCTTGCTATAAGCATGTATTACTCTTAACCACTACATACTATTCACTAAAAGTTTGAGAGGAGAACACACTTTAGGAAAATTAATCAGGATTCATTTAAAACATAATTATGAAAAAAGACAGGTGGGGAATTCAGTTGGAATATTATGATGGCATATTTAAGTTGTCACAGACACTTAACATTTCCACCATATTCGTTTTAAAAAGCAAAATTTAAAACTACTTTTACTCTCGATTCTATATTACAACATGTTGTTAGGTGTCATCTATATATAAAAACATATATATAATATATACATCACAAAGATGCACAGATTAAAAAGAATAGAAAAAATACATCAGAATGTTATCAGTAATTATGTCCAGGAGAAAGGAGACCAAGGAGTTTTGTTTTGTTTTTTAGTCTTCTTTATACTTTTCTCTGTGTTTTCCAAATTTTCAACAAGGGGCATGTATTTTATATTGCAATCAGGGGGGAGAAAAAAAACTATTCAAAAGAGGAAAATAAAACAGTTCAGGAAAAAAGCAACAAACCTGATTAACAGTGTTTGTTGGCAGAGAATGAAAAGGTATGTATTAATCTGAGAGCTATTGGCAAAGGCAGAATCAGCAGGATAGCAAGCCAAATCCTGACAATTATCATGTCTTATTTTATTCCATTTCCTGGCAGTATCTGACACAGCTGATTCCTCTCCCCTTCTTGAATTCCCTTCTCCTCACTTAACTTCTGGGACATTACATCCTTCCATGGCATTAGCCAATCTCCTTTGATACAGTCTCCTCTTCTTGCATACCTCTATGCGTTTGTGGGTCGAAGGGTTCAGTTCTCCCATTTCTCTTTATCTACAATCACTCTTTCCTAAGTGATCTCATCAAGTCCCATCTATACTCCAACGACTTCCAAATGTATATATCTCCACTCCCATGCTCTCATTTGACCTCTAAACCCCCCAAAACCCACTGCCATTGAGTCGTTTCCAACTACAGTGACCCTATAGGACAGAGCAGAACTGCCCTACAGGGTTCCAAGGTTGTCATATTTATGGAAGCTGACTGCCACATCTTTCTGCCGTGAAGCAGCTGGTGGGTTCAAACCACTGACCTTTCGCTTAGCAGCCAAGTGCGTAACCACTGCGCCACCAGGGATCCTCTTCATTTGACCTCCAAAAGAGTTAAATTCAACGTCTCCACTAAGCTAACAGATACCTCAAACATAATATAACCAAAATAAACACTAATTTCCACCCAGCCCCCCACCAAAATAATGCTCATTCCTGGGTATTCCCAGTAAACAGAACTTCCAGTTACCCAGTTGTTCAAACCTAAAACTCTAGAACCATACTTAACTCCTCTCTTCTTATATCCCACTTTAGTGGGTCAGCACATCCTGCAAGCTCTATTTTAAACATACAACATGCATCTGACCTTTTAGCACCTCCACAGCTAACATTCTACTCCAAACCACCACCATCTCTCATCCAGACTATAACACATAATAGTCTCCTAGTGTCCCAGCTTCCTCTATTTCCACACCCTCCCTCCCCTTCTCACACATACACAGTTTATTCTCCACAGTCATTACTGTGGTCCTTCTCAAAATATTAAGTCAGATCATGTTACCATTCTGTGTAAGACCTCCAAAGCCACCCCAACAAACTTAGATTTAAGTCCAAATTCCTAACTAGGCTCTACAGGGTCCTAATAAGATTTTCCAATGTATCTTTTCAGGAAGAAGAGGTAAATGAGATAAAAAGAGAATAAAACCAAATCATTTGAAGTTAAGTTTAATGCCTTTCTCAGCCATCGGAATTGATTAAATCACTTTAATTCCATATAAAGTAGAGAACCACAAGCACAGTACAGACCCCTCACATTTGGCATGTGTTAATTCATACAGGCAGTACAAAGGTCAAACTCAGTTCAACTACATCTAAGACACAGTTATTTCCTCTATTATAAAAGTTGGCATTAAGTATCATACTTGAGGCGGGGCGGGGGGGAAGCATGGTATCTTTGCAGTGTCACAACAAAAAAGGTTAGATATCTCTTTCATAGGGTTTGTGTTTTCGAAAGCAGAATGAGAAAATACACAGATATCTCCTAACAGAACCCCCACAGCTTTCTCCTCCAACACTGACGAAGACCACCCAGTCTCTGCTTGGCTTCCTTCTGTGAGAGAATTTTCCTGCATGGCTGACTGACATTCATTCTAAAAAAAGCTGGGGCATGATATATTCCTTCAAGTTGTATGTTACAATTAACCACTTTGGGGGTGATTTTATCATTTTGGATATTAGCATATTCCTAATTTGAAAAATGTAATGCTACTATACACACACACATCTTTCTTCCCCTATCTTCAAAATAAACAAAGTTAAAGCACAGGATTAGTGGATCAAAGAAGGCAAGCACTTGGCTGCTAACTGAAAGGTTGGTGGTCTGGACCTATCAGCCGCTCTACAGGAGAAAAGACCTGGTGATCTGCTCCCTTAAGATTACAGCCTAGGAAACCCTGTGGGGCAGAGTTCTACTCTGTCCTATAGTGTTGCTATGAGTTAGAACTGACTGCATGGCAACAGGTTTTTTGGTGTGTATATATATATATATATAATATATAATACACACACACACACACACACACACAAAAATCAAATGGCTTTCCAAAAACATTATAAACCATTTATAATGCAAAGATGTTCATATAAGTCTCAATAATGACTTACTGAGTTTCAGACTTTAAAATAAATGTGGTTACTAAAAAAGCTTGAATACTTCAGGTTTGTATACTGCCTTTATGTATGTCTTTAGCATTGCTTACTCACATACTCAGGTCTTAATGTGCTTTTCTCTCAACAAACTTATATGAATGCTTTATGTAATATGTAGGTTACCTACTTAATGTAAGTATTTTTCCTTATTTAGCTTACTTTAATATTTGGTGTCAATCTAAGTTAATTTTTCTTCAGAATAGTATCAGTTAATCTAACACAAATTATTCATCTTTCCACTATAATTTATATTTACTTTCACATTCTAAAGTCTTATATTTACATATAAATTTCTATTATACAATAATATGTTATTTCCTAATCAATCTTCAATAAATTTTGCATTAAAAATGTTTTGACTGCTCTGACTGGGATCACAACAGAGGGTTCTGGACAGAGCTGGAGAAGGATGTAGAACAAAATTCTAACACACACAAAAAACGACCAGATTTACTGGCCTGAAAGAGACTGGAGAAACCCCAAGAGTATGGCCCCCAGACACCCTTTTCGGTCAGTGATGAAGTCACTTCCGAGGTTCACTGTTCAGCTGGGGACTGGACAGCCTCATATAACAAAACGGGACTAATGAGGCACTGCAGTCTAGCGACAAGGACTAGAAGGCAGAAGGGGACGGGAAAGCTGGTGATACGGAACCTAAGGTTGAGTAAGGACAGTGTTGACATGTAGTGGGGTTGTTAACCACTGTCATAGGGCAACATGTGTACTAACTGTTCAATGAGAAATTATTTTGTTCTGTAAACCTTCATCTAAAGTGACAATAGCAGCACAACTGG